GTCATAGTGCGGGTACATATGGAAGGTCGGTGAAACCTTATCGTTTTATTTATGTGATTTGATATAATTAGGCTTTTCTCCTGCGGGTATTTTTTTAAAAGCTCGGATTTCTCGGTTGGGAAGCTAAAAGGCTGTGCAACAACAGATGGCTTATGCAAATAACAAGGTTGTATATATGTACATATATTAGTTCTTTTGAGTTTCAGGCTGTAACCTGTATAAACCTACTGACACTCTAATCATACTTAAGAATCCAATATCATAAAAATTTGCAGAAATTGCAAATGCTCTTACAAGATTAACTAGATATAGTTGTCTGGTTTGGTATTGCCATGCCAAACCCCCTGGATACATTTCAGAGAACCTGTCTGAGTTGGAATCCCGTTATTCCGTGCTATTATCGTTACCTCAATAGTAACAAAAGACAAATTACATTTGAAGGACTCGTCATTCTGTTGGGCCTACGAGCAACAAACAATCGATAAATTAGCTCGCGATTTCCTGCTACATTGTACTATCTATACACTTTGAATCGTTGAATTGTTTATTTGCATTGTACATAAGAACAATGTCTATCAAATATCCTCTCAAGGGCTTGCATGAGGCGATTTATGTCGTAATTTTACATAGTTTAGTGTCAATTTTAACAATCACTTTACGCGCACTGTTTTCGCTGTTGATCCTATCCTTCAAAAAATCCCACAACCATAAATCCAGAGGAGTCAAATCACAGGGCCGAGGTGCATATTCGATGTCACCGCCGTACACTGGGCTCTCAATCAATGTAGAAATATTAGTTTGAAGTTCATTGTTTTACGCATGGTAAGGTAATTTGCCGTGTAGTATTGAAATTAGAAACTGCTTTCACTGAATGCTCTAATATCGGTCCACAAAAAGGCTTGCAACGTGTAAAGACAGAGCTCGCCATTGACCGGTTCTGCCGTTCCGTCATCGTCTTTGAAGCAAACAAGCTTAACAACAATTTCATTCTAAAGACCGCGCTACGCAGTGGTCTTTTGTGAACGAACTGGTCGCTCACGCTAAGCCCATAGATGTGACAATTTAATTTATTCACATGGCCATTCAGCTGAAAATAAGTTTCCTCTGAGAGGATGGCACTTACGGAGCATCACCGTTATTGATTGCCCATTTCAGCGCTGGCTTTACACGCTAGGTAGGTGTTGCTTTAAACTGTAGCTTTTCACCATAGGTAAACGGCAAACCGCAAATAGAACCGTTGTACTTACCACTTGACACTTTGATAGATTTTTGGCTTACTTACGAACACAAGGGAAACCCACAGTCTCTATATATATATATATATATATATATATATATAGTACACATTGTTAATTCAAAACGGAATTTCACTTGCAGGAAGAGGATATAACTTCATAAAAATAATTCGTTATTTCATATTAGTTACCTACATAGAGTGGTGCCTCAACTCGCTGTCCATTTTCTTATACCAAACAACATATCACGATCATTATTTACTTTAACGGAACTTTAACGGAAAAAAAACCGGTCGGCTTGAAAAAACACTACGGGGACTGTTTTTATGGTCTTTGTGCTGTCATATTTCTTCCAAGGTCTGAGTTTCTCAATCCATAATTTAGTGCCACGTATGCCACGGAGTGTGTCCTTCAGATGGTAAGTCGCCCTTAAAATTCGCATACCATGCATGGCAGCAGCATGCGAATGAGATTTGCTTGATCTGTTGAAATAGGACCAGGCATGAGCAATGATATAGATCGTCACATATGATGATTCAGTTTCAAGAGAATTCATACTCAATGAGCTGTAATCTTGAAGAAGCTATAATGAGTGGATATTTGACAAAAAAAATTTAAATGATAATTCAGCAACTGACATCATACCGTGTCATAACTGCGCTATTGATCAGATGCTATGGCTGCAGATGACTCACCACACTGTGTGAGTCTATCAGTCTTATTTGCATGCCAAATCCTCCTTTACTCTATGGTTTGTTCTGTTCTCTAATATAATACGTAATAATTACTGACAGGGTTGGATCTTCAAATCAGTCAAACGATAAATATAAAACTCTTCCTAAGGGTTCAAAAAAAAAAGGAGGAAAAAGGACAAACGTCAGGGATATCGCATTGTCAAGGTCACCGCTCTCAGGAAGAAATGAAAGCAAAAAACAGAAAGAACCATCTGCTTTGCCAGCAGACAGCTTTTTCCAAAGACTGTTTCGCCCCCTTCCCTCAATACATTCCAAAAAGCACATTCCACCAAGTTCCTTTGGTTCTATTTTTCCCCGTGTCGTCCTCGTTCGCCCCATCCGCTCCCATCAATTCGCTTACGAAGCACACACATACACAAAAATACACGCAGACCAACCTACCATTGCTTCGTTTTTGCTGTCCTTCTTCTCAAGAGGCCACCAACTTTAGCGGCGCGTTCGATCTATTTGACAAGCAAGGTCGTAGTCCATTAACCGTACCGATACAGCTGACTTCATCAGAATGAGCTCAAAGCGGGAAGTTTTCAGCATCTAACACTGAGTGATTAGCTAATTCTAAACCAACACGTAAACTGCCAGCAACGGCTTGACGTTTTTGCCCTAAATGTGCGCTCCTTATTATGGGCGCCGTGTCTCTCGGCGTATCTCGTACGACAATCTGAGCGATAGACAGCGGATTACTAATGATGATGATAATAATAGTAAGCTACGATGCCAAAATATTAGCCAAACGTAAAACACGTTCTGGTTTCCCGTCTTCTCCTATGTTAACTCGATTTTTTTGCGACTGCACTGCATGATAGAAGGCCCGTGGCCCAGATTACACAAGCTTCGTGGGTAACGTATTTGCCTGCTAATCTTAGGCACAGTTGTGGTCTAGGTTCGAACCCTGGTATGGACATTCTTTTTTTTTTCGTTTTGTACAGGGAGCCAGCCGTTTGATGGAATCCCTAACGGCGACACCAAATGTAAAACTCGAGAGATTTTTTCGAGTTGCACAAATAGACATCTATATTCCAGTAGTCAATCGCCGACCAACATAGCCCGTGAAATGCTGGTGGTGTTTCTTTGAGACTTGATAAACGTATTCGCCAGAAGAAATGATTGAAAATGACAAGCCATCAAGTTGTCTAGCCAACGAACGACAGCAAGTTACGATCGCACGGTGACGATATTCTACATGGGCTATGGGCCATCGGTTTCTGGTGTAGATCCTGTTAGATAGTTATAATGGCAGTAGCAAGAACAGAAAAAGGGTATGCGGTATATCCGATTGTGTGCGTGCAAGTGGCGTAGATAGTAGAAAGCAGACCATCTGATTCTGGTTCTGCCTGCCACCGACAGTAGAACCTGGATGAATCACAGACTTCATTGTTCCTGCATCAGTCTTCGACCAAAACTCGATTTGCTCCCAACCCTGTTATATTTAACGCGCTTATATTTAATTTATGATGAAATGAGTGCTTTGTTAAGCAGGTTGTTAACGACTTTTTAACATAGTCATACCTGTATGTCAGTTTCAGCGTCCTCGGTAGCATCTGTCGATTGAATACGTCGTACATCGTAGCGACATATTTACCGCACAAACAGATCTCTAACGGCATTAGGTGAACGTTGGTTATTTGAACCATCGTTCCATTCGATGATTTCTCACCGCCGCCGATTTTACCACAAAAACAGACCTGTTCTTTCGATTTTTTATTTCTTCGTGCCTCCTTCCCTTCAATGAGAACTAACAGTGGCACAAGTCCGTACCGCAATAACAAATCAAATACGAAACAAGCCAGCACATCGAGTTTGCCACGTAGTAGCAACATACATACCAACAACCTCATCCGCCGACTTCCGAACGGATATTACGGACAACCTCCTACACAACCATTTAGGCAGGCAGGCAGGCAGGCAGGCAGACAGGGAGGCAGGCAGACATCAACGGCCGTGACGGTCTCAGCAGAACAAACAATGCATTCTTCTCTTGAATTGAAGGTCGGCTATTCCGCGGCGTAACGTTTGCTCACCCCACTATTGCTACTCTTAATATGGAGTACTAGCAGGATACATGGCAAAGCCCAAAAGCACCAGAGAACGCAGATACGCAGTGCTGTAGTATAACAGCAAGCAGAGGAAAGATAGCAAATGTACCTCCAGATTGGTCCATTCGATCGGACAACCACTAGTACTTATGGCCTTTCTTACCCGATCTGCCTGATGTGATTCGAAATATAGAATTGAGACCCAAGCTAAGGATGTTTGCATAATGCAAAGTTCCAACGGCAAATAGATGTAATTGAGCAACGGTTAAGCTAAAAGATTTCACAAGTGTGACGAAATGTATTGCCTAAATAGAGTACGGTGGCGGAATAACGTACTAGCAGTTTGTGTTTTCGACTGCCCCATAAGAACGTCCCGCGCGGGTTATATATTTGCGATCGGGTCGTCTACATTTCTATTAGTCTCCAACGGTGGGTTCAATGGCGCTATGCTTTCTTATAGCAGCATAATAATAGAGCACGATTTTTGCTATTTATTTCAGCCATCAGTCGCCGCTTAAAACGCAAATTGTACGTATAATTTGATTTCGAAATTACTTTTCTCGTTTTTTAAAAAACGAGACGATCAACCCGCCCCGAGGGATATAAGCGAGCCGCACAACAATTTCGTAGTAGTATGCCTTATTTATTTTATTCTTTTTTATTTATTAAGTTCACTAAGTGGCCTTGAATGGGCTATTGACACAGATAACGTGACAAATTAAACTGGGTTATATTTATTCATTTACATGTGCTTGCGTATTTCCCATAATCCATTTCATGTATGAGATGAAGCAAGCTTCATAGTCCATCACCGACTAATCTCTCCTTCTTTCCGTCAGTACGCATAAATAGAATGCGAAATGTAAATAGACCATGGCCAGTCGAAAAGTAGCCGCGGTTTTGTATAAGCTAGTAAGTAAATAGTCAGTCGATGCAAAAGTGAACGTATTTTTTATTTTCCGTTTGCTTCGACTTACCTTTCTTTTGCAGTTTACTTTGCGACTTAAGCGAATTGTTATCATTTTCCAGCATCTGCAAGCGTGTTGCCAGCTGTTGCTGCTGATGATGATGGTGCGGCAGCAGGACGTGACCCGTAACGCCACCACCCATCGCCGGTCCTACTCCACAGGCACCCCCGTCACTGCTGTTACCACTGAAGTTGATTACTCCGGTTGAATAATAGTTGTTACAAGAACTATTTGTCACATTTGTATTGCAGATATCTGGATGTTCCCCGATGAGCTTAGAGTCGGATCCGGCGCCAAAGGCGTCATTCTCCGTTGGACCTATAGCAGCAGCGGCCATTGGACATGCAAACCCGGCTGATGATGCCAGAAGTTTATCTGTTGACGAACGAAATAATTTGTTACGGTTGAATTCATAGATACGATACCTTAAAGCGATAGAAAGCCAACGCTAGCCTATTTAAACATCAAAAATAGTAACTTGCGCTTCTCCGACTGTTCACCACATAAGAGGCTATTAATATGTGTTGTTTAAATCTTATAGAAAATCTGTTGCTACCCGTTCAAATCTTCAGAGTATTGCAGGCTGTGCAGTTTAAATCTCTAGGCCAACTATATTTTAACCTAACTGAGTTAAAAGGTGCCTATAATAATGGTCGTATAAAAAGCAAAAGCATACTGGGGTACTCCTTTTCCCTCTTTTATTTTTCAAAATTCTTTATCGAAGGAAATCGTTTACTCTCCATCCTTTCCGACTATTCTTCAGCTGTTGCCGCGCACCTTATACATATGATGCAAACGAACCTACCGTTCTACTCGTCTCGTTTTGGACTACAAATATGAACTAAATATAGTACGCAGTACAGAACGTTTCGACAGCGTTCTGTACTTTTTTTTTTTTTTTTTTTTTCTGCCCATTCATAAATGGGAAGTACCTAGCAATTAAAAATGTCTTCTATCTCAGCAAATATTAGAAAAATTATTGACAACAATTGGACTGGCAAGCGTTCCATCCCAGTTGTCTTCCCTACCGCGTTCAGCATCTTTGCACAGTATATCGCTTCCCACCTTCCAGAAAAACGAAGAAAGATGCATTAAGTATTTCATGCGTAAGTAAATGGTACTGTCGTTTGTGAACTGTCGACGCCAGAGAAGCCATCACTAGATTTCCGTCACACAATAGGAAAATACTACGCAGATTTGGACAAACGAACAAAAACATAAAGCGGTAACGTGTCTCTACTCATAGTCCCTCTCAACGCTGGCGCTCTTGTGCTTTCTGTACATTACGTCTAGCCTATTCCAAGGCCGACTACAAATGCAATCATAATAATAGTATAAAGCGTCGCTTCATTTTCTTCTTTTTCTCTGGCTGAAGTTCTTTTCTCGTTTATCGTTATCGTTACATGTTGATGTGTAGTGTGCCAAATGTATCTATGGCACTGATGATGGCCGCCATGGAACAGAAGTACGTTAGCAGCGGCTAATCTATTATACCTTGATTATTATGTTCATCATCAATCATCACATTATTCTGTGCTATGGCAAGCAAACGGCCTCAGTACGTAACCAGCTTGACTTATCGCAAAATCTAATGCCTTACACAAATAGGTTCATAATTAAGCCATCTCCTCTATTTGAATGGGGCGCCTCGATGCGTCCAGACCATGATGATCACGACAATCGTACAAAGGTGGGTCTCATGTAAGAGCCTCGACTGTGGTCCGTAGGTACACATAATGAACACAAATCATGAAACTCTCCAACACTGTCAAATCCGCCCTATACTTTGATGGGAATAGTGTTTGCTTTATTATATGTCATTGCTACACGGCAACTATGCAGCTAAATGGTTCTCCGGCAACGACATTATGGCAAAAGCCTGCAGAAATGATTACATCGATGTAAAAAAAAAATTAATCAAGTTAAGAAAAACAAAAGAAATGTTGAAGTCATAAAGTAAAGAATAGGAAAAATATTCAAATTGGTAGTATTGCTCTGCTTTGGTATAGGGTCTGGTAATAAGAGGTCGCTGGGTTATACGTGGTAATTAAGGTCGGGGCATACTGTGATACATCGTATCAAATATAACGAGTCACAATAGAATTTAAATACAAGGAGGAGAAAAAACAAACAGGGAGGTCACGGTGAAATGTAATGACGCCTTGTTGAACATGTTAAACCAGACAGCAAGCGTTTATCCGCACTAAACATTTGTTAACAATATAGCTCCGTCTTTAAAATACCTATATTTTATCTTTGTCTAACTTTACCACTATTGTTCTGCAGCGACAAACTGCTAGGCACAATTCAAGGTGAATGACTCGATTTGGATGCAAAAAATTTAAGCTGCAGCCCAGTGATCTCAGAGGCCGAAGATGACCATTAGACGCATCCTGCATAAGTTCCTTTGGTGTAGTTACTACTACGTCTCTAAATACTTTTTTTTTTTTTAATTTACCTCCCTCGTGTGAACAAATTCTGGTTGCCATCTCTATTTCAGTATAGCATCAAAGACCTGCCCCATTAGAAATGATGTAGTCAAGATGGGCTTGCTTATGTTTTCTCTGACAGAGCTGTGAAACGACGGCGTTTCCTACTTGTTGAAATTTGGACCTTCTTAGACTGCGCTACTGCAGTTATTGCAAAGTACCTGAGCTCAAACCGTGTATCAGATCGCTTTTGATGAATAACTACATGTAAATGAAATATTTTTGTTTTTTTTTCCTCATATTTTTATGCAAGCTTTTTCTCACATATTATGCACATTATTTAGAGTTATCTAGATACTTTATATTTGATTTTGTTAGAGATAAAAAGTCTGGAATGTATGGCAATAATGTCCTAAGTTTTTAGTTATTTGAATTATGGACCTTTCTTTGCTGAATGGGGAATAGTGGATGGTAGCTTCAAATCCCGCTCATGATACATACACATAAACGGACCACAATAAAGGCCATATCCACTATAAAAGTCATTAGACACGAAACAGAAACGGAGATTTCGGTCTGCACCCTTTTTTCATTGATTAAAAGAATGAGTTATATTATACGTCCCGCCTAACGAACATTATAGCTTGGATATACACACAGACACTTACTCTGTGTCCGTGACCCTCCTTTGCTTAGCCGAATAGGCCAAGCTAGTAGCTATTCCGTTTTCTCATTTTTAAAATATGATTCTTATACTAGCCGCACAATGGAAATGTTCCAAAGATCTTGTTTCCATGCCATAGTTAATAGATCGGTCTATTCTTACATAAAAAAAGTTTGTTTGATTGATACGACATTCAAGCTACCGTACTAATCCAGCTGTGTGATTGTTGAGATCTTAATTAACCTAACCCTTACTTAAATGAAGGCTTACCATTGGTTCCGTTACCTTATAATTAGTGGCACCTTAAAAAATCAGTGTCACTGTATTCGTCTGATTGTAGGTAACCCGTAACATCAGACTGAGATACTGACATACTCTACAGATTTTCAACCATTTTACGTCTCAATCAAAATTAGTTTTGCGCATATTTTATAGAGCTTGAAAAAGCAAACAACTATTCAATATAAATTCATTAGGAACTCGTAAGAGGTGTTTAAGAAATCACCTAGAGATAAATGTGGCTAAACTTAAAACTTCAAGTTGACAATATATATATATATATATATATATATATATATTATAAAACTATATATATAATTTGGATCTCTGTGCATTTCGATTTAAATTAACTTTTTCCTGGCAAAAAAAAATAATTTTTCGTGATGTCCGAAATTCGTTCCACAGCGTGAACAGAAAATGAGGAACCTTAAAACCAGATTAAAAAGCGACTGGCACTAAAGTTGTCGATTACGTGAGAAAATAAACTGCTTGCTTCAAAAGAATTTTCAATAATTATCAAGACCAGCAGTGTAGCCCATTCCATCGTATAATGTATTTTTTCTAGCCCGCAAATTTTACACCAAAGCCGTACGTAGGCCACTTTGGGCAGCAAAACAGACACACATCGGAGGAGACGGAAGATTTCGGCATATTTTAAAGAGACTAAACCGACCGTTTTTTACTTCGCACCCATTTTTCTCTCAATTACTTAATCTGATTTGCTGCTAGCGTAACTAGGTTAGCGGAAACAACGGCCTATGTACATACATCAATACCCATTCTGCTACATGACCGGTTACATTTAAGCAGATATTCTGCTGTTATCTACCTAGCCTTGCCAAACTAATTAATAATTCATATTAAGGGATCTAAATTCGTATTACACCTAACCTAACAAAAACTATAGCCCGATAAAAATCACAGTTACAGCCTAGTTTTTTTCACTTCAGCGAGTGTCCTAAAAGTATCAGTTCGAACAAATTGCACAAAATATCACCAAATCATCCTATGGCGCAACTTACTTCACAATGAAAAGCTATCAACACTCAAAGAAACAATCCTAAGCGATAACTATACGTTGGGGTGGGTTGACAGACGATATAAAACAGACAGACACTCAGTCCTAGTAGCATATGTACGCACACTAGGCGCTTATTGTGTATTGTTCTTAATACTAACCTATGTTGCCATTATTTCGCAGAAGGTTTTCGACGCTTTCGTCCAACGAACTAAAAGCCACGGGTAGCACGAAAAGTGGGGACTCCCCTACATGGCCAGTGGCGGGTTTTTCTATGAGACAGTGTGGAATCACCAACAGCTGTCTTGGCGAGGCACGAACCTGACGGCATTAAAATTTTTTAGTTCTAAAACTCCAGTCCAACTCAACGCTTCAAAGAAGAAATTCAAGCTAAACATCAGAGATCTAAATGGACGGCGATTAAAACCGAATGCAAAAGTCAGATTGTTTGCCTCAGAGACCAGGGCCGTCTAAAAATATTTTCTCCCTTTGACTACAAGGGTACATAATCGAATCCAATCATGATGAAATTATATCAAAGGGTTCTTTGTTGAGTGAAAGATATTCTACAAATAGGATATATTCAGTTTTTTGATTTGCTTAGAATGAAAATTTACAAATATAGAAACATAACTAACTAACCTTAATATCGTAAAGAAGTACTCTGGCTGACAGCTGTAAAATGTCTGTATGTCCATCTACAGAACGGCCATTAGTATGATGAACGCCTGCGCTGCCATTATGGTTAGCCTGAACGGTTGCACTCTTGGCGGCTGCCTGAACGCTACCTTGAAACATGTCTGCGAGTCCGGCTATCGATCCAGAGCTCAGCTTCAACTCAAGCCCCTAAGATTCAAGCAGAACAATATGTTTCCATGTTACAATTCGTCCATGCATAGATATCTAGTATATATGTTTATTATGTAACTGTACGTCTCTGTGTCATGATAGGCTTGTATCATATTCTTTTGTCAAATACTTCTATGTGTAGGCAACTGAAAATCACAAACAAGTTTGACCCTAAACTCCGAGGAACACTTGGTTAGTCATTACGTTGGTTGGACGGGGTCGCGTTCGGCTAGTACTATATTTCACGGCATTGGTCCAGTTTATGTTTCCAAGACGCTTGCTGGATAATAACAATATGAAAACTTTGGCTACATTTTGCCGAATATTACAAGCAGTAGACAACATGTCCTCTCTATAAAGCACCACATCAACGACGATTAGGTGCTCTGATTCTTTTTGCAGCTACACTCATATGGTTGCTGATACGTTGGATATCTTATAGAAGATCTTCCGGCCTCTAAATCCTCTGAATACGTTGTGCTTGCTGTCTTTAGCCCCTAATGTATAAGGCAGTTCAGGAGCTAAAGTTCAAAATGACAGCGCCACCGCCTACGGCGGCAATACTGACACGTAGATCCGTTCCTTAAGGCCGCTGCTCCTTCGCCAAAAATGTTTTAGTTCGAGCATTTTCCATGTTAAAGCACAACCACGCTTCTCACTGTCAAGGCTGTTACACAGTTTAGCTATTGCCTCATATAATAAATCATATAACGTGTTGACCTACCGAACCTGATCCGATCTGACTCCTGCAAAGCTTGTTGGAAACTGCTATGTAAGATCAGCGGTCGAATACTGCCCCATTATTAATCCAGTTTTATAAACATACAAGCTGGTAAGCATAATATGTAATTGAACAAGTGGGAAAAACTGACAATGAGAATTCTTATTTATTCTTATTCGTATCTGCTTATTGTAGACAATCGTTGAGTCAACGAACGGCACGTAAGACAAGATCACACACGTGGCCGCATGGCCATTGGGATGTATACAGACGAAAAGTGACTAAACTTTTTCCTCGATCGCGTTCGCTCTATTTTGTTCGCAAGTTACAGGATTACAACTCGACCACTGTTCTCCGCCACCTTGCGCTTCGGCAGAACCCCATACCGTCTCTCCCTCTGCTTGCCCCTTCAATTCCCCAACTGCTACAATGCGATAGCGGAGAAGACGGATGTTCATCCGTTTTCTTCGCTTTGATCTCGCTCAATAAGCTCACTAAGATGTTGTACGATAAAGCGTCATGAGTCCATGCTTTATCGAATTTTATTGCAACATCACTAGCAAAACGGCGTTCTTGGGTACGTGTTTTATGCTGCCTAAGCTTTGCACTGCTTATAGACGCGCTCTGTGCCGATGCTTATCGCTACTAAGCGATAGTTGACGCAGTACAAGCTAGGACTAGAGCTACAGAGAAAGAAAAAGATCGGGGAGCTCCCGATAAGGATCTATTATATCTATGAGGTAGCGGTATTAATGCCAAGATATCTAGCTGCTCATTTACTTCACAATAGGCCGGTGAAGGGAGGAGCGAGTAGGCTGATTGAACTGGCAAAATTCAGAAGCGATTTGAGCAAACCTTGAAGTCCAAACTGTCAGTGGTTCTGTTTTCTCAGAGCTCATTTACTCGGGCTAGTGTGTGAAACTAGCGAAATGCACATTCGACGCTTTAAATAACGCAAAACGCATGGCTTACGGTTGCCACGGTTATTCCTTCTCGTCCAGAGTGTACCCATTGAACGTTTTACAACAGGACATAGAAAATTTGTCAGCATACTTTCACAAAATGTATTCGTCAAACACCTAACGGGCACTGATCATTACACACGCTCCGTAAATTGCTTGCGAGCGGTTTCGAGATCTACAGACCGCTAGAACTGACGCTACCGGCTAAAACTATTTAGAGAGCGTCTTGCGCATAAGCTTCTCGTACGGACTTGCCAATTCATTCATCCATGCGATACACCACTCGGGCTATTGCGTTATTGCCGTTGAGCCCTACCCGTACAAGCAGATGTGGGCACGGAAAGCGCAGATTAACTAAGCTAAAAATTCTGTGAAACGGAAGCCATTACAGGCGCTTATGACATCATGCAAAAATGTTCCCTGCATAACAGGTCTGCGTACTTGTCCCTATGATAGCGCAATGGGTACTGTATGGGCGCGCTAAGTATATTGACACGTGGTGATCTACGTTCGAATCCGAACGTAAACACACTCCGTTTTGGATTAGAAGTCAGCCATTTGAAAGAATGCCTGACGACTTAACAAAAGCAAAATACAAAACATTTAAACATAGTTATCCGAATTGTACCTCCGTTTGCTTATCTCAGCGTTCCAAATCTCTAGGTACTCTTTAGAAAGCCTACTTAAGTTGGAATCCTGCTTGCAGATCATCGTACGCAGAAGTAATAAAAGCCAAGTTACATCTACATCCAGTACATTTCCATGAATATTCTCCCAAAAAGCTTATTCGGTTTTCATCACAGAAGACATTGACAAATGGATCGGCTATTTCCCGGATCATGGAGTAAATAATAAACGTTTCACATTTTTACGTCCGGCAAACGCGACTTCAGATAGCCGGCCTCTTTTAACGCGGAATAAGGTGTGCCTACACCGAGTTTCGTACTTGAAACTACTTCATAAATTACAGCGTTTAATAATTAAATGCTTTAGTACACGACATTGCATTTTGGCAGCTATATACTGGCAGGTATTTTTTTGGTTAACTTTTCTTTAGCACGCCATGAGCATCCGCTACACTCGATACCAGGACAACGACTGTTCTAAAGCAAAACCATAAACTGACGCAGCTAAATTCATCATCAAAATAAGGGTAAAAATCATTTATTATCCAGTATCTAGACGAACCCCCATCGATTTTAAATTTTCCCTTGATCTCGGCTAAGCACACAGCTGCTGAAGGCACCGAGCTTTATTTTCCTGCACCGAAATGGATTGAACACGACAGAAAAAGCACGGTAACAACTCTGCAGCTAACCAAAGAAATGCAAAGGTGTATTTTTGATGATTCTGGCTACTCGATGTATATCTCACGGTTCAGATTAACGTGTCTAGAGTTATTATTGCTCAGACTTTTCATGAACACCTAGTACAGACCTTGCCCCTCAAAAGCAAGCAGAAGTTCTCAATGAAATCAAGGAACTTGATTAAAGTCAGTTATAGCAGCACTCTGTCAGAGAAATTATGAAGCCATTTTCCATTTTTTAACGGCAAAAAAGCGTTTTCTATAGATGCAAATTCCGTTGTGAGTAAAAACAAAATAAAAAACTAAGCAGTAACGTTATATAGACAGTGACGGGACCTCATGCCGCCATGCTTATTTTCAGAAAGGCGTCTCTGGTAATGAGAAGTTATTTTTTGTGTTTAATAAATGGTATTTTTACCAAAACGATACACAAAAGCAAATTGCGGCAGAGTTTGCTGGGTGACCGCGTCAGCACGTTCTAGAATAAAGGTTTATAACAAGCTAACCGTTCAGATATGAATTTGTTGTGTTACCATGTAAGAGGCATGACTGAGCGAAGGTTTAGCAAACGTTGGCGTATTAATGTCGACTCGCTCACTACCGCTCCGAAGGAGCCCTTAACTACGACTGAAAATATTTTACAATAGGAATGACTGGGTGCGAACTGTGCATGCCTCGAATTGAAGCCGTGATAGACGTTACTAAGCGCAGTGTCCATTAGTGATGTCAGCTGGTAGCGATATTTGCGTAGCGCTAACAGCCAGCCAATTGTAATCCTAGAGGCTAAGTACGTCACCGAAGTACTCAAGTTTTTCAAAGACCAAATGAAAAATCAATACGCTTTTTATAGCATAAACAGCTGAATAGTTTTGAAAATTACTGATGAATCTCGTTTGAGTTTTTTATTATTATTATGTCTGGGATCCCATTTGAATTCTTTAGCTTTTCCGCAAACATTTTTTAACAAATTTGTAGGTAGTAGAAATTGATGGAACGATGTGCTAACCTGGATCAGCAGCTGAATTCGCTGGGGATCTTCGACATCCAGACGTCCACTGGCCAAACACGTCGCAGCGAGTTGTTTATTTAGACCGTTCTGCTGAGCCATTGTTCGAGTTCGAGCGCTGAACTCTGCGTGGTATACCTCCCTAAATAACAGTGTGTTAGTATTAATTTACTGCTCTCAACGAATACTGCCTCAAGTCAAAAGCAGTAGGGCGTAACCAATACAACCAGCTAAACGATCCCTTTACATTGACATGAAGTACTAAACGTTATATGGACTTTGGGCAAAGGTATTCTCTCCTTTGAATGAATTGTTGGCCTCATAGCTTCGTTTCTGTTAGCAACAAAATCAATCAAGTTGTTAGATGTTAAGTGCGAAAAATTAGCGCACAATTGAATATGAGTTGCCGCCGTTTGGAGGGAAGAACATAATTCAGTTTAAATACAAAATGCAACGTTTAATTTTGTGAGCCTGTTCAGTCATTACATTTCACTAAATCTAGGTTTGTTTAATCTGTAGCGCTACGTTAATTAATGCTAACCCACCTGTCCATAGAAGCATTCTCTTCAAATTCGATAGAGTGCATTTGGTAAAGAAAGGCCTTATTGGCTAAAGCGAGCTGAATATCACGAACTTTAAGGACGACGACCGCTACCGTTTGTGAGCGGTCCGAGGCTGCATTTAATAGCTGCTCTTCATCGAAGAGAGCGTCAAAATCGTCATCTCGAACTTCAGTAGCTTCTTCCGCTGTCTCTTCGGCCAGCTCAACATCGACTAGCAGCTCTTCCCCACAGCCGCCACCAGCTGTGCCCGTGCGACCATTATCCGCCGACTCCAACATGCCGGCAAGTCGTTCAGCGAGTAGTGAATCACTCTCGTCGGATCTGACGGACACGGCGTCTAATGCGGCTTCTTCGCCTCCCAGCGACATCGACACTGAAAGGCTGTCAGCGCACGAGACGCTTTGCAGTCCGCTAATCCGAGGATCTGAAGGCCCTAATGGGCCTGGCGGCTGAGGCACGGGTTGTCCCTGTATCGCCTCGTCTGCCCCTGCAGTAGCACCAGGAGCTGCAAAGGATTCGGAAGAACTGATTGTTGGTGGACTTTCGGAACGTGCAGAATCATCCGAGTTGAAGTGTTCATGTCTGGCGGGTGGCATACTGAAACCAGCATTCGCCTTGAGGACTAATGATACATGAACGAGAGAAAGCATCGCAGCAATCATTGACTTCAATGTGGATACTGGGGCGGTAGAGCTTTTACGGATATCTTGTTTCAGCTGGTTGATGAGCAGCCTTAATATCCTTGTTTTCTCTAGCAGCCTGAGGAAATGTTCATGGCATACTTGGATGTTGACAAGACCGCGTACATGAGCCAGAATCTGCTTCTGGCAATACCACAATGTTAGAGGAAGAGGATCCAGTATTGCCTCTGGTCGGCGTCCTACCAAAAGCAGGAAACAGCGTGACATTAAACATAATTTCGCAACCATAAGCAACTCATTATGCCCGGTACTTATGCAGGTAAATGATTTTTTTTAAGAATCTATTACCTTCATATTTTATAGACTCTGCAAATAAGCTTTCCATTAAGCTCACTATGCTTCACTTGCATCAACTCGATCAGGCATCGGCGATCTTACCTTTTTCAACGAAATCCACCCAAATGGGATCGAGACAACAAGACCATACTTCAGCAACCGAAGTTTCGTCAGAGATACAGTGATTGACAAATTCCGGACAGATTGCTGGGGTTCCAGGTGGTAAGGGAAGGTCTCCATCTGACCATGGGTATTTGTTCGTTTCAAAGAAGAGGGGCCCCCGAGAGAAAGCGTCCAGCGCTTGCTTGAGCTCTGCCCTCGAAGATGAGATGCCTTCTCGAGAATTGCTGCACACGATCCTACTGCACTGCGCAACGACCTCGTCCAACATCACCTAACAAAGATCAGAGCATCAGCAGGGCATATTGAATAATTATTTGCTTTTAAACGATTCATATCATTAATAAGGAATAGTGCAAAAGCATTGCGGTAAAAGTTTAGCCTTTTTATAAAAACCTTATATCAATAAATGCTAGATGTTACCAGTAGAAACATCATAAGCGTGATGCTCTTACTACATGATGATAAATGTTATCGATAACGGCTCGACAGTAAACAACAAGACGTAACAACGTACCTTCGTTAAGTAGACTTCAAACCGGCAGTTGGTTGTAGATACTTCGTTAGTGAAGCAAAAAAGATTCTCTCGGAGAAGAGAGCGGATGAAAGCTATGCTCCACAGTAACGTCGGAACGTCGAAACGAACTAAATTCGGACCCACGTTGACGTAGCAGTACGATAACGGTGGCTCTAAATCTGATGAACTTCCTGTAATACGGACAAAAAAACGTAAAAACTCGAAAATCGAAATAATTTACTAGTGAATTTATCCAACTACATTGAAATTGTGCAAACGATAACAGATGTATCCATAGGGTTACAAAAGACAATAGTGATAGGAAAATTTATAACCATTTTATCTAATTATCAAATAAAAGCGAAGCTTCGATCATAAAAATCTGGCGACAGTTATTAGTTTTGGGTGCCATTGTCTACTGCCAACGATATTTTTTACCACAGGAGCTTCATCCAGAACGCAAACAGGCTCTAATACGAGGTCTCAACTCTACGCGGTGAAAAAGTAGTATTTTGCAACTTCTTCAAAAGTCGCTTCAAAGGGACGTGCAACGGCTTAACGGATTCGAGCGCGATAAACTGAGTTCTAAGACCCGCGGAAGCAAATACTAATAGCTAGTGGATTTAGATAATACTGTGTTTAAACAGACCTCTTTCACATTACCAGAATCATGCGAAACGTGATGGTATCATACGCATGCGTGTAAAATATCCGACGATATAGCACAATGTCAAACTTTCATTCAGATGATAAAAGTAGTAATACACAAAGAGACCAATTATGTTTCGAAGTGATAGCTGATATGTCAAAACACTTCCTCAGAAGACTCAAAATCGGCTATTGATTAACAAAGGCTCTTTATTTGAATTGTATATAATTTGCCAATCTAAGAAGTACAAAGATGTGGCGAAATAAGAGGACATGAACGATTAAACGTTTTCGAATTTCATCAGATCCTTAATGAAGTTTTACGAACCGGGATAATAATATGATGTGAAATCGATGAAGATGGCCTTCTCGGAAGCGATGTTGTAGTTGCTAAGAAACGGCTGTCTCTCAGCCCGCGATGAAGTGGCCACTTTGTAAACGGTGAATTTATCGACTAAAAGAAGTGTCGTTGAACACATCAAATGTAGAGGCACCCGGTATTCTCCTTCTGCACACATTAGGTTATGCTAGTACAAAACACACCATACGCAAATAGAAAAGACAGCGCAAATATAGAGACATACCCTGTCCTAGTATCAAGATTAACATGCCATTTAGATGTAATGAACGGAAACCAATGTACAGTTAACTGAAGATAGGCTTTTCGACACGTTTCTATTTCAGAAAATCGTTAGACAGAACTTTTCGCTGTTCCGTTTAAATTATTCGTTCTTCCAGTGGTAGATACACGCCGTATATGCGTGCGCGCACACTACAATAGGGAAAAAATAGGGGCTTTGTTAGGGTTCTAAATTTAAAAAAATATATATATATATATACATATATATATGTGTGTAGTCACTTGAAGCAAGTCTATTGAAACGAGGAAAAATAAATAATCATAGTAGGCTACCTTTTTTGCATAGGTGTTCTGCATCTCCTCAACCCAAGGAACACGATCGCCATTAGGTTCTTGGTACCTTACCCAATGATCGCGGCCTACGCAAGCTCGATGGAATGGATAGTGGTCGATTTGCAGGTTTTTCAAAGTCACCTATTGGGCGTCCAATCAGTATCACCGCTAGGTTATACTATACGTCTAATCGATATCTTAGGAGCTGCGCATTTAAAGCAAAACACGACTTACCTAACAATTTTCTAAACTTATTGTAACTGTCCAGTTGATCGGATATAAAGATGCCGAAAGATTTATGTATATCTAATCATATCACAAAAGGCCGGCTTGCATAGAAAGTAGGAGCTCATAAGCGTTAGGTGTGCACGTCTTACAAATGAGCTTTAGAGAGCTCTAGCGCAGTACACAGGCAACAATGATAATGTCAATATTAATGTCGAACTTTATAGCCATAATTGATTCTTTTATCAAAGTGTCTCCAAGTATATTTAATAATTGGGTGCCTGAGGCAAAATAGAGAAATAGGCGGCTTTATTTATAATGTATATAGACAATGTTCACGACATGCTCAACATAAGGTAGTGCTTGATGTAGCTAGGAACACTCTTCGGTGCACATGGGCGTTAGCTAAAATAAACAAAAGGAAAAAAATATTAACTGAATTATCCTCCAGATAAAATGCAGCGCTTACCTGTAGGCAGCCACCTTTCTCAAGCTCAGGTAGCCCTGACCTGTACGCAGAGCCTGTGGCCGTTTCATCAACTAAGTGCAGGTCGATGGCGGTACAGAAGACGTGATACGACGTCTCCGCAATATCATACACTCGCCAAACGGCCGTCAGCGGTGTTTCCTTCCTTGACAGGCCCTTACCGCTCAGTGACTGGTCAATAGGTAATGAGAGGTGTTTGCCCGCTTGCAACTGATCGCAACGAATAATTTACTTTTTTTACTATTAGAAGTTACTAAGCGTTAAGCTACCAAGAAAATCAACTCTGTTTTTCTTCTTTGGCATATGCATGCATGAATGTATCGCAACGTAACGCAAACATCTCAACAATAATGGACTTAGTAGTTGTAACGTAGAAAAGAATGCAATAGGTTTAGGCGGAGCTTTCTAATACCTTGTGTGAGAGGTCTGTGGCTTTCTCGATTAAATCCGCAAGCGAATGTCCGAAATGTAATGCAGCCACAAGCTGGGCGTCTGTCAGTACCCAGAGCAACTGATTGAAGACAACAAACAGTCGTGACGTAACTAATGAGCAGTCGGCTAGACGCTTTTTCAGAGTAAGTCGACATCTGGCCGAAGAAGTTAATAGTCGAAGTGGCGACAACGGGACAATTGGAGTAGCTGGTGCTGATGAGACCTGTGCAAGAATTATAACGGGAATGAAATCAAAATATGCCAATAACGAAAAAATGCAATCACATCAATCAATAGAGCTCAACTGGTTGTGCTTAAGCCTTTACGTTGTTCCCTATACATTTAGCTAGGAGTCTGATAACACTTAGCACGTCTATGACAAGAACTAGTGATGTGGCGTAAGTTGGTGGCTGGTGGCAAATTAAATTTGCCCTCCAGCTTGCGAATAGTTATGAACTAACTGGGTACGAACCTTGGCTTCGATCCTCAACGTCTGCCATTCGATCTGCTTGAAAAGGAGCAACTCATTGCTTTCGCGATTTTTAAGTCGGCAATGACGTAAATCAGCCTTCTGCCAATTTGGCGTTCGCGAGTCAACTATCAGCCTTTGGAGCTGAAGTTTGCAGGTGTGAGAGAAATCAGAACACAGATTTATTGTTAATAACGGCACAGATTGGTGCACATTAGGGGGCGCATATATTGTCAGTGAAGTTCAATGAAGACAACATCCACAAGAAATCCGATTTAACAGCACGTACAATTATGAATTTATTTAATGAACTTGCGACAGGAAATAGAAAAAAAATTGGGAATATGAGCCATGAGCTACTTACATCTAACGTCGCCTCGAAAGCTGGACTTCTAAGATGAATATTCACCGAATTGACAACAACTGTAATTGAATCTAGTGTCTGTTCAGCAAACCCGTATCGCCCAGATGTATACGAAGGCCTTGTAGAAGCTACCACGTTACGTAATTGTTCGCACGTCTCAACCTGAATCTCTACACAATCTAATGTAATTACTATGGGCTCCGATTTTAACTTTGTCCATGGCACCTGTAACACATAATAGCCATAGTTAGACATTGCCATTTTACCCACTGCTTTATACAAACCACTGAGTCAATCAGTGGCTAGATGAAAAATTCTACAATTACCGTTGCTTTTCTCTGCATTACGTGTATATTTAACAGAGATTAAGTGCTTCTAAATGTCTGTATGAAAGTACGTGCTACCCATCCCGGAAATGGTTGCTTAAATGATTTTTCATGGGTTTTTCATCTGAGACGAATAAACACTATAATAAAACCCAGATATCTGACAAAATTTGCCAAAGAACATTATCACATACGTTGATGTAAATTAGTAGAAGGACGAGCTTCTTCGACAATTTATACAGAATCTACATTCGAAAGCTGCTTAGTATGCTGTTCAGAAAATAATGACTGCAACTGTTGAAAAGAAAATAAATATTCTCATTTTCTAATATGAAGCCGATTACGGCAATTTCTTCAAATACAAAATTACTTAACAATTTCTATGTTTGTTCGTTCGTTTGATTTCTCGCGGCCCGAGGATAAAGACAGATAAGTTAACCACGATTACGGAAGGGTAAAAATCGGAGCGAATCAACGAAAAATTTGAAGTTGCAAAAGCGAATTATAGGGTACCGTAGTAAGGTAATGGAACAATGCGTACAATGTAATAAGGCAGCGGAAAAACTGACAAGTTCATATCCAAAAATACGATTCAACCCGAATAGGTCTAAAATTGTGTTGGTTATATCAGATCAGGATCGCTTAACAGAATCGTGCTTAGTACATATCACGCACACAGAACGGATTAGGTGTCTGTGCCTTTTGCCTATTCATATAGCATGCACCACTACAGAGGCTGGATGATGACAAAAATTCGATCCTGGTAATAATAACAACAACGTTTTACAATTTTAGATGCAAGTGTAACTCTACATGATACGTTTTGTGACCCCTTTTCTGGAAAAAGACTGTTCAACTTACTTTCAGAATAGCTGAATTACAGAAAGCACGTGTCAGAGACAGCCAACAGGGTAATTCGAGAAGTTCCATAAGGAGATCCTCGTTCAGTTCGAGATTTTGTAGTTCGCATCGACCTTTCAACGCACTTAACTGAATATTTTCCACCGACAAATTCTTTGTGAATCTGGAAGAAAAACAAAAAAGGGCTGTTATTTATTATCGGTGTAACCTAGGACGCATTTCGTCCGTCACGTTCAAATCAATTACTTGATCACCTTTTTCACTATTTTCACGGTTTAGAGTAATTGCCACTCAAAATCAACGTCAAACCTACTTATCTCTCAAGTGAACATTGAACTACATTCCAATTTCGTCATATTTTTATCAAAAATGTATCCTTGCGGAGCTACTTGCACAGGTATCGCGTCAGAGGTCTGTCAGTAGCTGACCATCTTGTTACCACGTATAACATAGTTAATGTGGCCATTTTCAGGCTACATCATATATATATATGGCACACACACCATATCTTGTCCAATTACTGTTAATAACAATGTTCTTTCTCTATCAGTTCGATATTTTCATTGGTTTACGTCAGATGAGTTGCGTACCCTTCCTACTATTTAATTCTCTTTTGAAATTCCCAGACGTTTCTATAACAATGTTATAATACTTTAAATTCCATTTAAGGGTGTTGGGATTGTGATAATGCCTACTTAAAAGTTGCACAGAACTTATCTGACCAATCTGCGTTTCCAAAGTACTTATAGAGAAAAAAAATACTGTCAACATATCATATCGGTTATCTCACGTAGAAAAATCTTTAGTTAAAGTGAATATTCATCACATCGTGGAAGGAGAGAACTAATACATTTAGTAAAAATATGCAAGGTATATTTCATATTATATATAACGAAAGAAGTTTAGCGCGTCCCCATAGAACACTGGGAACGGGCCGTCGAAGTGGCTATTCGCTACCTCAGCGGCGGATATGAGCGGCTACGCTGTATCTTGAAAAAATTTCGCCCAAGTATACTGAGTGCTTTCAGTCCGAATCCTTTCACATGGTCAAGAAAGAGGTGCCCCTGATCGCACAGTCTTAATCAGACTCGGTCACAATATTAATAATTGGCATGCACTGTACTCTTGCACTTTCAAAGAACACCCGTACTTGAATGTTGAATAAGTCCTTACGAAGTGTTTGAATACCACTTTAGATAACGTCGTATTAGCTAAGTTCTAATGATTTTTTGTAATGAAACTTACTTTAATCATGAAATTCTCAAACTTGACTTCCTGGCGCAAGGCATTTAAAAAGAGAGTAGAGAACCTGGCATACAGGTACCAACTGGTATGTCTCTTAGTAGATGTCTACAAAAAAAAGCTCTGTCATGATCTTCTGATGTGGAACAGGAGATATTCGGTCATAAATATACCTTTCATGACTGTTGAACCTGTTGTGTTCAAATGTACGTTGACACTGCCCTTTGAATTTGGCTAAAAAGCAACCTAACCGATGTTGAACGGGGGGTTGTTTGGTCTGTAACATGCTCTGTTAACTGCGTAAGCTTTATGCTCGATTCCTGCTGAGGACTTTTTGGTACAAGACAAGTTCTTATACCAGTTGGTACGGCAGAAGCAACGATCGCAACCATGCGCAAAAAATAACAACCCTCACACAAAAGACAACACCTCCATGGCAACGATCTGGCAACAAGCAACACGCCTTGCACTTGTCTTGGTTCATAATGACACTGCGTCTTGCGCTAATGGCTTGAAACGTATCGTATAGTCTGGATGATGACAATATGATTGCGGCAGATGATGTAATCTAATATCGCGTTGATAAACTTTTTTATACCTGTGTCCGAAGTAATGGTCCCTATTGAAGTGTGAAAAGCTACCAGTTAGTCTTTGAATGACTCGTACCCAGTAGTTCGACAACAGCACAGTTTAAACCTGATCTTATAAAAATATGGGTATGTCAATTATTGTCAAACGCCTAAAGCCTAGATGTAACAAAAGACAGAGGCCGAATAAAGATCTGAAGTTTCAAAACAAAAAAAAGAAAAGTAATTTGATTTTATCATTTTTAATCTTTCTTATTAACGTCGTAAACGCAAGTAAATGTGCATACACAATGAAAACGACTGGAATCAAAAAAAGGCAACCAAGATAAGACGAAACTACCGGCCACAATAAAAGTGGTGTTATTATATAAAATTAGTGGTACAAAAGGAGGCGGGGCTGGGTTTGGGATTTTTTACTTTGCTCTTATAAGAGGCGAGCTCAGAGATTCATTAATCCGGATTCGCCTCTGAGAAAACTATCGCTGCATGAATGCTCTCACTATGATTCTCAAAAGGACAATACAGATCAAAACAACAAAAAATTAATACGCAATGTTCTATCTTCTCTATAAATTACCTTAAATACGTAAATGATAAATATTGGATCGCAGCTTTAATTTTCACAAACGGAAGTGTACTTCGTCAACGAGCTTTACTAGGAAATAGCAGCTTTTCGAAAAGTTCTTCGAGATAAACCAGAAATTAGTCGTATGAGCAATAAAAATATTCATGTTTTCAGTAGCAGAAGTAAATGTCGCAGATAATGATCAAGAGGAGTCGTACCATTTCTACCATATTCCAACAGAAACAGAAAAATAGTAGCCGATACACCCAAAGAAACGACTGTTCAGCGCCATGAAGATTAAAAACATAGAAAAAGTAGGCACGCCTCTACGTCAGTGTTTGAAATACTAAAATGAGTATTAGTATCGATGGCAATTTCAAATGCGAGTCTCTTCAAACCCGGAAAAATCCGTGATTTGGTCTGCTGTAGCTTCAGTGCATGTGTATCAGAGAAGAGATTCTGAATTTAATGAGAACATATTTATACACCTGAATGCTAATGGCCTTTGTCCAAAGTGGGTTAAATCGGACAAAAAGCTAACTACGAGTCATATTGGCCACTTGTGGTCAAGGTACCACGGCACTCTTCGCTACATATCCCAGAGCACTGTAGTCCCATAAGGAAGCGCGCATTTCGCAAATCACCTAATGATTATCTCAGAATCTACAAAAGCACATAGGCTAGCTAATGTCAAAGAATAATCACAAAACTAACAAAAAAAAAAGTAATAATTATCTTATTTTTTTTTATACTGGAATATTTCATGCTTCTCGAAAAACGGCGCAATTAACGGTTTCACTCCAACACAGACCGTGAAATTGAATTGAAAGTAATTTTTCAAAGTTCACATCGCCTTATTTAAGGGAACATGGCCAAATGGGAACATTAGCGAAGCGGAATCTACTTAAAATTGGAATAAATACTCGGTGAATCAAGTAGATCAATAGAACTTCGATTAAAGGTGGATTCTGTCCATTCGATCCATCGTCCCTGCGCACTCAAGCTTCAGTCACTGCGTGCGCTACCCGAGCCAAAGATGCCAAAGTGGACAATCTGTGTATGGTTAACGTTCGTGTACAAGCTACTTATAGAACTTCCACCCAATCTGCTGATATAATATGGGTAGTAACAGGAACGCTAGTTGACGCGCCTGCACGTCTGCTTGGCTGTAAGAACACAGTAAAGTACGGTTGGGACTCAATCTCTACAAGAAATAACCACATTTCTGGATTTTAAAGTAATGGACGACACTATATCTCAAATACTAGGGACACATAATTCAGGTTGAACAAGCCTTACAAAGCAAAAAGAATTTTGATGCTTTTAATACCTGCAGTCTATTTATCATCACTCATGCAAACCTCGTGAGATGGCGGTTTAAAAGTCTACGTCAAAGGTTCAAAACGTATTACGTAAGCGTAAAGTCACAGTGGCAAGGTGCTACTAAGCCTGTATTAAAACAAACAAATATTCCACCGTAATTTTTCGTGTCTTTTAGAAGTGCAATTTTTGACGGTCGTGCTTCTTTGATGTAATCTTCATCCATTGCGACCATCGCCTCGATTCGGGACTCAAATCACTAACTAATCTTTTTAAAAATATTCCTCCTTAAATCGGCAAATAACTTTTCGATAGTAATCGTGTGTCAAGCGATATTGGTAAGTATAAATTCATTTCAATTGGATCAAATTTTCAGTTGATAACGAGCCGAAACAGCAAAAAATGCAGTGTTTTAAAGCAGCCAACAAGTTCGAAAGATGAAAAAGCCACAAGAAATTTTAAAAACACTAACTGTTGGCGTTTATTTAGCGTAATTAGCAGTTGTTATTCTCTTTTTTAAAAAGGCCGGATCAAAAGTGTAGGTTTATTAACATGGATTTTCGAGCTATTTAAGCCCAAACTCTATTTAGGATATTCTGGTTTTTTCCTCAAAAAAGCTTTTCATCAATTTTTTCAGATGCCGCATGAAAACTGCCATTCGAATTCGCGCAAAAATTTTGACGGAAGTTCACCAAAAGTGAAAAAATTACATAGTAGCCGCTCATCAGGTAAGTTACAGCAACGACGCACTGTTTTGTGCCATGATAGGTTTGTTGCTTTGTTCTAGAGATAACTAACTTCTGTGCGGTATAAAGAGTAGCGAATGAATGCATGCCCATATATATAACGATATACAGCTCGCCAAATTTTCCCCTTTTTAAACGCACCACACTAAATATGTACATATAGAATATGTACTGCAGTTAAATAGATACTACTTTTAAACAGCGTCATAATAACTAAAGTAACAGTAAGACATGGAAAAAGTTTGTATTTATAGTTATGGTATTTTTGCTATGTCTGGCATTTTTCTCGGATTGCTTAATATACCACTACATAAACTATTCCGCTTTACTTCAAAAAACTTCCCAGTGATTGATTCCTTCTGGACGGTTGCAGTTCCCGGGTTATGCGTACTTACAATATATTCTCAAACTGTACTATGCCTCCGTAGTGCACGCTGCTCTACGAAACATTCCTTTGCGCTCTATTCTAAATGTATGTTTTTTTTCTGATTAAATGATTATCACGCTTATCCTATATCTAAATATTTAACAAAACAACCTCAGAGCCTTTATTAATCTTTTTTCATTTGAAGCTTATTTGGGAAGCAGTCTGAAGAGCCCAGCATACACATGTAATAGCGATACGGTCGTCTGACTTCATAAAACGTCGATACTTATGTAAGCCAGTTACGACCTAATGTTAAACATTCCATACTAGTCTTTTATAAAAAGTAAATACATTGAAACATAGCTAGCAAAATATTTTAAAAAATATATTACAAGCGAAATCTATTTTTGAAAACATTATAACATTGGTACTGAGTTGCAGAAAAAACGTTTCATTGATGTAAAGTATAAGCATTCTACCTAAACCTTACGTTCTTAAATTATTAAGTAAAAAATCAACTTAATACCTGCTGATTACTTCCGTACTCAAAGCATTAGTATAGTATTTGTTCAGTTCCCCCCCTAAAGCTTGACCCAGCTAACCGTCTTCAAGCCCCGTTACATTCAAGCACACAAGGCTAAAATGGGATTGAATGAAATAAAAATTAGCCACGAAATACTCACTTGAATAGCAGCTTTAGAGCTGGTAACTTGCGAAAGGGAAAGTATCTTTTTGATAATTGTTTTTTAAGCTTTTTCAAACTTTTTTTTAATGACGCCATAATCACAAGCGCAAGCAACTTTCTTTTCAGAATGTTGAACGACGACTGTTGCGACAAGTGCTCCCTGTTAACCAACAGAAAGCTAATTAAAATCCGAACGTGCACAGGTCCAAACCGTACAGTTAACCGTAGATTCCTCCATCTCGCTACATATGAACTACACTACAACACGCGAAACGCTTCATCTTAGAATGGCGATAAACGTACCTAAAGCAATACGTTATGCCCAGACCGCTTCAACAAGACAACCGCGAAAGATTTGAACCGAGAATTGGGTTTACCTCTAACCCATTCTGTCATGCTCGGATTGCTTATCATGGCAGTATCCATTGACGGCGGAATATTTTTCTACAGCAAAGTGAAACAATACTATCGTAGCCTTCGATTCGAAACGCCATTTATTCTTGCAAAATGACACACTGGCTATTTTATGAACTACTGTATCTCAGTAGAGCTCAAATGATCTGTCGAGCTAGGGCAGGTAGTGACATACTCCTTTCAAAGGATCAGTAAACATAATATGTTCCTGTTGAGAATTGTCTCTTTCAGCTGGTGGATCCTCGAGTGCAACAACGATTTAGACTCAGCATGCTAATCATGTAAGAACGAATGCGCAACAGGTTTGTAGAAGACTCCATTGAATTGGAAAGCGTTGTTGGGAGACAGGGCGGCTACACAATGGAAATGTCGATGTAATAGAATTAGCTAGCTCACGGAGACCAACCGTAACGACGATACTAACACCAGCCACAAGTAAACAAGTGACTCTAATTCAATACCATTGGGGATAGACAACTGTTATCTGCTCTGGAGCTGCTGTCACTGCATACGGAGCTACGTGGCGTGTGGCGAGGAGGTTTTTGGAGCAGTGGCAACCCGATGAAGTTCGGAGAAGTTAAGCGCATCGCCATAGCTACCTCAAGTTTAGAGACAAACGCAATTACAAGCGCAGCTCAAACTTCCTTCTTGCGCTTGTGTGTATATGAGAATCTAACTTCTTTTAACGATCTTTCACCAGAACAACAACAACGTCACTAATAAACGCGTAGGTAGAATAGTCGTCAAAATGAAGTACGAAATTTCGAAGGGCAATACAGTTGAAAAAACGTTTTTCAAATTATAAGGAAACATTTTTTTTGTTGATGTCTTCATCTAGCTGCAGTAATAGTATCTAGCACTTTCTGGAGAGAGATTCCCATCAGTAACAGAAAATAGTTATTCGTTAACTCACTGAGGCTACCAGTGATACGCTGATTGTTACTCCTAAAACACAGACTGGTAGCAGGAAATACGCTGACAGGTCTAGTAAATGTTATATAAAGTTAAAATGCTATCTGCTCACGTATCAAAAACCTTGTTCCTAGTGCCAAGCTGCACTTTACAGTTGGTCTTGTTTTGATGCAAGCTATGTTTCCTTTTTGGCACGTGAACACGGTTAGGTAAAACTAGCTTTACTATAAACTCTCTTCTAAAAACTACAAAATAAGTCGTTATTCTTGAATCGAATTGCAATTGTTAAAGCAACCTTGCTGCCATTGACAGTTCTTCTTCATAAATACCACTTCCTTAGTCATGCCATTTGGAGATCCTGATTCCGCGTATCCAGTAAAAATAGTATTTTGTCGAATTTCGAGAATCCGATCAACAGACAACAAAAAAAAATTAATGTAAAAGAATAATATGTTTTTCTAAACCTGTTTTGAATCAAAAAGCTCTGTTTTATTGGTGCGCAGGCGTATCATTAAAAATGTTAAACTGTTTGCAGCAGAACAGAGATAACACCATGTTGAATGATACTGATCTAAAATAGTCTTTAGTATATATTGTAGGTGAAAGCAGTGAGTACGCGGCGCGCAGTATTTAAATTCCTTTGGTAATTTGATTCTATTGTCGCACGGTTATTGAGTGGCAGTGAAGTGTTTTTTCATTGAAGACTTAGGTGTGAACTGGACATAGGTAAACTTCGGTTCGTGCTGGAAGTTGCAGTGCTTAACAAAAATACACTCGGAACATTTATGTTTGCAGTTCATTTCTATTACATAATTAAGTTTCAAAAAAAATTTAAGGATTCTTCTAAATAAGCGACTGGGATATCGATTCTAAGCGATCTGGGTCTCTATGTAATTACGAAATTTAATTCCCAAGGTTCCTAGAACCAATCAAATTACTGGTCATAAACATTTTTTGCTACAGACATTGATAGCTAAGACAAGCGCGCGTCCTAGGCATAGAACATGAGCTTTGCGAGGAAGGAACTTCTGCGATTCCCACCGGCGTTGATGTCGTATCGACGGTGTTGTCAAATTGTGTCACAAATTATTCACGGGATTGTTTCAGTCATGCGTAAAACGAAAAAACCCCAGGGTAGACAGGCGGTAATGAAACAGCAATTGTCAGGCATGTAAGGTAGTGCAATAGCTACATCTATGGTTGCGTAAGACTCGAAGGCAAATGAACATTATGCCTCGTCAGCCCTAAGCGCCTGCAACACCGCCTTAACAACTTTATATATATATATATTCTTATAGACTTATCAGTAATAATGTTGCTCTGTTCTTATAAGGCCTGCTACCGCCGAAAAAAACGTGAAAGGGCAGTCTTCGATCCTCCAGAATTAGCTCTATTTGTTGAATGATTACTCAACGCATGTTTGTGGTGGTCAACCTATAATTACTACTATTAATACCAGTCGAACCATTTCTAAATTTATGATATGTAGACGGAAACTGATAGAGACAGTGCTACTAAAAATTGTATATATATATATATATATATATATATATATATATATATATAAACAAAATATATATTGTACGATGATGCTATGGACCTGTAAAATTTTTGTTTTATGTGTAGGTCCAATCTAGAAACACTGACGTGGCCAAGAAATTTCAGTGAACAAAAGGATCTGTCTAACTAGGTTCGCTGTACTACTATATCAGACAACATAGCATTATGGCACGCAAAGATTAAACGTTTCACAAGCTAATTTAATAATTAAACAATTCATTCAAATTTACTTTGATCAAATCTATTTTGCACCGACGGATATTACTATACTAGATCTTATCATATATTAAATGCTACCCACCATTTCAGTTGCAAGCTTCGCAGTAAGCGTCAGATGCTTTTTGCATAGGACATTTATGTACGTTAAAGAGTATGACTTGATATAGGTTAAAAACTAAATTAATAGTTTAAAAATGTTTTCTTCGAAAGATTTATGTATGGAGAAAACACGAGATTCTTGATAAAATGACCGTGAACCTGGAAAGGGGAGAAACTCGCAAATGATACTCATTTTATGCTCACCAAACAATTTACCGCACTATCTAGCTATACAGAAAAGCGTAGTCTCTCTAAGCTGATATCATCAAATGATTGCGGTAACTCTATTCAATTGTATGTTGATGTTCAACCAGATATATATATATATATGTAGGTAGATGGCAACTAGGCACATATATTGAATGAACAAAGATGAATCCATTCATACTAGGGAAGAGGTTATGTACTTGCGGGGATCAGTCTGGTGGAACATCAACTGAATAGAGTTACTTCAATCATTTGATGATATCAGCTTAGAGAGACTACGCTTTTTTATATAGCTAGATAGTGCCGTAAATTGTTTGGCGAGCATAAAATGAGTCCCGTATGCGAGTTTCTTCCCTTTATATATATGTAGCACTTATAATAAGAAAGCCATAGGAAACGGTGCTTGACGTTACTGATGAACTTGCATAACTGAAAAAATAACCCGTTAGCCAGGTTACACGGGCATGGCTATCGGGCCGAATTGTGAGGTGGGCACGCAGACATTTGCAAGGATTCGCACGCGCCGGTGCTCATTTCGATTTCAACATCGGCGAGATAAGAAAACTTTGAAACGAAATTGTACGAGCACTTCCCTCTGGAAGAAAGTAATCGGCCAGAATAATTATTTCGTTACTACCTTTAGACCAGCGGGATGCTCGGCAAATTCGTAAATGCCACGCAGCCTCTAGTAAATAAATTTAATGTGACTCGAGTTTGCAGTATCTTTAAGTAGCATTCGGAAAACAGATGGGGGGGGGGGGTCGTTAGATCAGGTCGTTAGATTAGGGAAGATCGTTACCTCTCGTTAAATTTGTTACTGTAACTTCTTACTTTCAATTGATCCAAGTGTTTCGAGACTATACGTCAGAGGAGCCTGATACACGTTTTCGGAAGCTCCACCGTTTCGTATGAAAGCATTCTAACACGCAAGGGCCGCAGATAAAAGCTGCGTTGGCCAAGGCTAGAAAAATCATATTTGCTCCAGTTATGTCGGTATTGCGAGGTCCAAGGGCCCACTTTTAGTGGATCAATAGATAGCTCAACAGAGGGTATTATGGACCTGGTAGCACGGGCGTTGCAAAGAAAATGGCAGGTTATTTGGTTAATTTTCAACAAAGGCACACTATATCGTACCACTTCAATGGGATCACGAAGAGTCCTGTCAAATTAGGCGAGTCCTTCGTATTTCCTATTTGTCATCTAACCTAAATCTATTACAAAGCCACACGTCGAGTGATGACGTGGTATTTTTTTAACAGGAGAATTATGGACTATTAGCATATACGCGCCTACGACATGTGCCCGTTTGCGATAGAAAGTCTAAGTAATGTCTTTTTACTGCAGATCTGCCCTTGGAGAGACGTGAACGTTTACTCTTCTGGGCAATACAAATAGCCGTACTTGCAACGTGTACTACTATGACAAAATGTTCAGGACTATGAAAGGCTCGGTTGTCTGGGACTGAAACCGCAGACTCGCGCAAGGTGCCCCTGACATCGTCGAAGGGTCGTTGGTAGTCATGCTACCCGTTAGTCAGCTTAGTATATAAGAGATTTCGCTCGATACCTGGACTGTGTAGTGGCGGATATAGGCCACGGAATGAAAACATTTGCAAAGGTGTACTAATGCAAATATTACAGTATGTAATTTTAAAAGGGGATCGAAGCACTCAAGCACCCGATAAAGGGGTCATAATTCGATGCGTATTAACCGCGAAAATGCAAACCAAACAAGTGTGTCACATAGTTAAAGATCTCAGTGACTGCTGTGTAAAAAACGTACAACTATTTTATATGGTGAGGTCCCTTAACCCGTTAAATCATAGATTACAGTTGGTCAAGTTTGATTGTAATCATTCTAAATGGAGAGCCACATTGTAGCAAATAGCGAGGAGCTGATGACATGAAACAAACGATAGTAAACTATGAAGTTTACAGATGTGCAAAAGTGAACATTCGAAAATGTGTGTAGAATCATACGAAAACCTTGTGTTTCGTTCTATTGTCCGATTACAACGGTGCGGTCGCGTGTTCGCTTAAGGACGCGCGCCACATAGGTAAGTGACAAAAAGAACACGATACAATTTTTGTATCAAGTCCTAAAAATGGAGAGCCTAAGCAAGGCATATCCTGATTGCACAAACGTTATCATAACGCTGGCTTAGCGAGCGTGTGGCTCTAAGCAGGGCAAATTTATTATTTTTCACCAAGGTTCTGCTGTGGATAGGCAGCTGTGGATCTCGGGTTTGAAATACTAGCGATGTCTGTGAAGTGTGATTATTAGATGATTATAGCTTTAATTACTAGCTTTAGTAGCTTTAAAACGCTTTTTTGAGTCGCACCTCTCTTTCTAAAGACAAGTTTCGTGGATTTGCTTTTACATCCGTGCATCAGACGATTCGAAAGGCTATTACAAATGTGTCGATTGTACGATGTAGTCACGTACCGTCCGAATGAACGAGCTGACGACCCTAAATTCTGCCACTTTTCCAGATTAGCACTCTCTATAGACTGGGTACTACGAGCCACTGGTTTAAATTATGAACGGATGGCTTGAGTCCTGCTTGTTATATGTACTTGCAACCAGATAAATGTGGCGATTAGCATCCTGATCTCATTACTAGACATAATTTACCAATCCGCACTTTTCCACAAGCTTTTTTATATATTTTATACAGTATTGTGAAAACCTAACGCAAAACAGGAATGCCTCTCTGTGACAAATGAGTTTATGAAGGTAAGTTTATGTTTTCCGTCCAACATATACAGGGTGATAGAGGCTTCATACCAGTCGGTTATTACCTCAAAAAATAAGGCAAGCATTTGAATAGTAAAAAACACTATTCTATTGTCTCTATCGGGTGTCAAATAAATCATCCACAATTCTTTAAACTAACTGTTCATTCTCACGAGTTTTATTGGCAAAATCAATTAAATTGTTTTTACTACGATACATAAGTATACTACAGACAATTTGGATATTCACTCTGTTCCTTTGTACACGTCGAGCTTTATCTATCAAGACCTTTTTTCGCATTGAATTTAGCGCTATTGCTCTACTCTGACCTAACAATAGGTCACCAAGTGAACCTATATTGAAAGACATGATTAAACTATTTCAACCAATAGCTCCTATAGTGTATGCTACAAGTCCCTAACTTGCAAAATAATTAGCAATTCAGTGTAAAGTACTATTCTTTTAAACTATTATTATTATATATTCCCTGAAATATCTGCTATCGGTCAGCATTGGCTGCCGATGGGATGCTATGCATGATCTCCGGCTTACTTGGACAGATGTTTAAGAACCTGGTTTCGTATTAATGACACCATGTTGATGCCGTCGACGGCCGCCGGGGTCTCTAGGTCACAACTGAAGGGGCTCGTAGGCCATCTGCCGCATGCCTTTTCACTGCCACATCGCAAACAGACTTACACTACGACTCACAGCTTTACCACTTTTTACCTAAACGAAGTTCGCAAGCATTGCAACAACAGCTCCAGTTCATTGCACACACAGCCAACTAGCACTAAACAACAGCTGATAGACGTACATAGGAATCTAATGGCAACAAAGAGCAAGCAGGCTACCATTAATACTTGCAGCTAATGGTTGAAGGCATCGGTAGCAGCCGCAACTGCACTAACAGATGCACCGACACGTATGTAAAAATTTAGCGGTGTGGGGTGTTAATGGCGACGGAATAAGCGACGGTAGTAAAGAGCTAATCGAGATTTAGAGACATTTGTGTCAACTTTGGATTGAATCAACTTGTACTCAGTAATACACATACAGTGTTGCTTATGTACGGCGGGGCTAAACGTTGCTTGAACAGAGGGTTTTCCATACCTTCGACAAATCCCCCAACTGTTAAATGTCGGAACAATGGCTAGTTAGCTACTATAAGCAAAGGCGTTTATAATGCCAGATACAAACAGAATGTCAAACCAACGTGGAGGTAAAAGCAAAAGAACGCCAGTAAAAAGAATATCTAACAATAGTCGTACTACTGCTTGTTGGCGTTTAGCGTTTGGCATGCATTTACATTTTGGAACCTTCATTTGGTGGCAGTGGTGTTCATTCTCTCGTAGGTGAGAAATTGTCAAGTGTCATTGCCACTGCTGCGTGGTCAGCGCCAAACCTTTTATCCTGTCCAGGATGTACCATAATTGATTGAAAGAATCCGGCTGTATGTTTACTGAATCGAATGGAGGAAATCTGCTTGGCTAACTTTAGGGTGTGCAGTGTAATAATTTGCTACTTCACCCATTGTTGTCGTTTTCGTAGTAGAAGTGGTTTTGCTGTATGGTGCGCGGTCCGAAAGTAAGTGTGTTTGTTGTGGGAAAAAACCAGCTGTGTCTGCCTGTCACAGCTGAGGGTCCGGAGCCATTGGGTTGCAAACAGAAATCAGACAGGACAAGCTACGTTAAGAATTTGCAAACGCATGATATTTTCGCCCAAGAAGTAGACAGCCTACGCCCTGTAAGTCATGGCAAACATTAAGAAACACTTTGGATTTAAAGTCGGCGGCTGCGGTGGCGGGATTTCCGGTGCGGGGGTAGGGTCAGTCGGAATCCTGCAATCGCCCCAAACTGCTAATGGAGAACTTCTTCTTCCTGGATTTTCGAAATCGGCTTTTATGAATGAAGTGTCATCACTACTTGATCATTGCGGTCTGTACGTGTCTGCGATGAATGATTTCTGTACATCTGGCTGCTCACTAGCAAAATGCTTAGTCAAAGTGTTTCATGCAGTTCCACTCTACCGGGAAACGGCATCTACTCTTTTAGCCAACTGGGAGGAAATAGCACAAACGACAGCAGCGGCCTCTGCATCCGTAAAGACAGAAACATTAATGCAGCTGCAAGATGTACTCACACGTCTCGAGGGACAGTCTAAAGAAGATCGGGAGACCGAATTAACGGAATCTGTTCATGCGGTGTCGTCCTGTCTTATGGCTTACATTGAACTGCAGGCCCAGTTTTCATACTTGGTTTTTAAAGCTTTAGGTAAATTGTCGCGCCAACAGGGCAGCCAGCAACAGAGTGGCTTTCTGAAGAATAGTAGTCGGGCCGAAGAGGCCGTAAGGAAACAGTTTGCTCAAATTATTAATCGGCTAACAGGTCCCTCAGTAAAAACACCCACATCACCCATGGCGACGTTATCGACTACGCCGTCGACGCCACAAACACTTCCACAGGTCCCGATAGGACAACACGCTGTAATAACGACTAGTGCTTGTGGTAGCTCTGTTTGGCCAGCCGAAATCCACCTGGCACCTAGTGGTGGGGAACTTTCCTCAGCATTGCCTGAGTCTACACTCGCTTCTGTTTCAGAAGCAGATGCAGAAGATTCCGGACTTGACGATGTCATTAACCTTTTATCAATAGGTGGAGCAGCAACACCTGGACCTTCACCTGTTCCTTCTGGGCCGCCAAAAGTACCGCCGCGTCCAGACGCGTTGAGCCAAGATGCCTTTCGTTTAAAACAACAACTTGGAGCTTCTCGAGCCGAGGTCGCAGTTTCCAAAAAAACGAGCGAGCCTGCTATTACATCATGGTCGCCTTTCGCGCCCAGCCAATGGGGCAACCCTGAGTGGTCGACTGAAGACTTAAGCAGTAATTGGCAACATTCTACAGGTTCTCAATCGCATCGATCATCAGAAACGGAATCCGATTCCAGTCGGCTTCAATGGCAGACAGATTTAGGAGTAGCCCCTGGAGCTGTTCCAGGAGCTACAGGAGCGAAAGAAAAGACGTCGACATGGCCACGACCTCTTCGCGACCCGGCTGCGCCGTGGGAGTGGCCTGACAGGGATGACAACGATGATGAACTCCTCACCCTTGAAGGCACATCAAGAGATACAGGAGAGCGAGCTGCCAAGACATGCACCTGGCCCCTTAAAATGGCTGATGGAGCGTGGAGTTTGGATCCGCGTGAATATTGGAGTAACAAGGAAAGTGTGCAGCCAGAGCTATCAAGCCATCGTGGGTGCCATCCCGACAGAGTGGCGCCTCCCTGGGAGCGACCCAAATCTCCTGAACATCAGGCATTTCAATTATTTAATTCAAGATAGAAACAAGTAGTAACATAAGAACGACGTATCGTATTTATTTTATTTCCTACTAAGCCACCTTCCTGCCTTGTATGTCTTACGACTAAGACATCGCTTAACTCAAACTTAACTATTTCTATATATATCCGTTAATATAAAATTCCTGAAAAGCCAAATATTTGTTAATGGAACATTAGTTTTATTACATCAAATGGACACACATACTAACAGAGAAAATACAGTTTGACAACGATTTTTCATAAAGTGACCACCTTCGTTAAATCATAATTTAGACAAAAAATAAGAGAACGATATTTTTCGGGAAGTACCAATTTCAGTAGAAATCCTGATCGCAAAGATCGTGTAAAGATAAATTACAGACTAAAGTACGATCAATGTAGACGGCTTGCGCTAAATTTCTGATACTTAGCCTGAGCTGTTAAACAAAATATTAAGCTAGTAATGAGAGAATGTTTTTTTTTTAATTCGATTTTTATTTTTTATTTCAAAGAGGATCACAGTAATAGGCAGATCTTGAAACAAACGAATAAATCATCAATTGAATATTGACAAGCAAAGCAAATTTTGGCGGGCAATAAAGTTTCCGGCAGTACACTGTTCTGTTTGAATGTACAAGTTCCTACGACTTGTTTGCAAATGTCGAGCTAGTCAAAACCAGAAAAGAAATGACGAAATATTTTCGTCACGTTGGAGACAAAGTAATTTTGAAGTCAATATTTATATTGTTTATTTTTTTCCGTTATGCCGTTTTTTAAAAATTTCCATATACAAAAGTTTTCATGCGTTATATATGGAACACTAAAATTTGTAAAATGATTTGTAATTTAATAACTTACTTCAAAACTAGGTTTCGCCTCCTTTACGCACGGTAAAAAATGCTATTTTTTTGTTCTCCTTAACATTTTGTTCTCCTTTGAGCAACATAAAACGTAAGGATTGATAACAAATAAAAATAGGCGGCGTATATATATATACCAACATTCCTGCTGCCCATAACAAACGCCATATTGTACCTCTAACGGAATATATACTGTGTTCTAAATGTATATAGTAAATTTCCAATTGAACCTAGTGTTCAATAAAAAAAAATATTGCTAATAAAATGTGACACCAGAGCGTGAATATCTTTTTCATCTACCTCATTATTAGTATTAGGTATACAGTGGTGTATAAATACGTGTGATCCTCTAGGGCTCTGAGACCAGTTTGTCCTAAAGACAGATTTGATCACAGAAATTATTGAGCCACGATAAGCATCTCGGCTCGAGTTGCTTGATTCATCTGTTTATTCACTTATTACTGTACTGTAGTCCGTTCAATATTTAGCGGGGACAATTTTTACTCCGGGGATGATCAGCGGTGACTCAGCTTCGTAAATTGCTTAATTAAGTGGAAATGTCAAGAATCTCGGTGTTCATGGTCTTCCCATTCCAGGTGCTCTTGAACTGTTCCGGGATAGGGCATTCCACCTACACAAAAACGACGCAAAAAAACTGCATGAGTAGATGAATATAGGCACTACTAGCGGTTACCAAGGAACAAGAAATTAAGTACATAAAAATTACCACCTAAGTTTCTTGCCGCGTTACATGAGGAAAGCAAACAATTTCACATAGTACTAACGTACTAGTGTTTCTGTGTATATAATACATTACTGTAATACGTTAAAGTTCTGTTTCCTATTCGATTACTGCTCAACCTTGCCAAACTGTAAATGCTTTTTATTCTAAAAGGGTAAAGGTTATAGGCGCTATGCATCGTCACCTAAATCATATTACGGATTTATCACAGTAAGCCGCCACTTACATAATCTCCTTCGCTCCCTTGAGGCACGCTGACGTTGACCTCAGATGATTTTGAGGTGACAATTTCCGTGTCCATGCTCGTCGGGCTGAGGAAGACGTGTGCGCCGTCCGTCTTATCGATAGCAACCGTCGGGACTTTGCCTAGGGCCTGTGCTTTAACGGACTGACAATTGACGAATTCAACCGTCCCCAAGATATCATCGAATATAATCGACGTCTTCTTGCAATTGTCAATAGAGATCGAATTGCATTTACCTTTGACGATAATGACAGAGTTCTGGCAGCCGTATACATAGACTACCTGATTCATTTGTACGTCACGCAGTTCCAGCAACGGATTGTCACGATGATACTCCACAATCCATTTCCTACCATCAAGCTCAACCCTAAATACAGACGAAGACAGATGGATTGTAAACCAAAACAGCTAAAACCTCTTATGGTGATTCAAAAAGTGGCCTCGTAACATATATGCATCGTTAATATATCCGTGCAGTACGGTGTAATTCTATTTAGACATCCAGTTACATACATCTATGATTTAAACATGGAGTCAACAAGAAATTTAGAAAAATTGCGAAAAATAACAAATTTCAATAGTATTTCTAACGTACCTTGGAGGCTTTGCACTTTGAGGCGTCGGAGCGGTTACAGCTCTACCACTAGAACCGCCATGTGCTTTTGCAGGAACCACTGACGAATCCCTCAGTGACGGATTCTTGTGTGTCATTTGGTCAGCAGTGACATGTTTCAGGCCCTTAGTGATATTCGAACCCTGATTGATCGAAGCAAATAAAGCAGCTCTGGGATCTCCATCGCCACCGGCGGGTATTGTTTTGCCGAGCATGTAATCAACAGAAGGAGGCGGTGGGGGCGGCGGCATCCCAGTTGGGGTAGATGGGGGTGGACATTGTGGGGATCTACTGGTTATGGCATAACTATCACCGGTTGCTTTAGCAACAGCCGCGGCGCTATCGCCTTTGGGGTTCCAGCTGAGCCCTGTCGTGTGATACTGCTTGATATATGCCTGAAGTTGAGCCAGTACAGCTAGCCATGATCTGGTCCATTCCACATGCGTTTTGTCCAAGTTCTTGTATTCCATTAGTACGCGGTTTGTGTAGAATTGGCAAGCGTCGGCCATTTCCTTGACGTGAGGTCCAGGTGTGGGAGCAACGGCAATCCAACCAAGCGCGGGAATCGACTCTGAGATTGCCGACAAATGATTGAATAGCTTTGAAGTTCGCTTAGCTTCGCGAAAGGCTTGAATACTTTGGATCGATTCGGACTGTGGCCTAAGAAGGGCCATCAGTTCGTCTGTGGACGGCTTTCTCGATTTGGACGCCATCTTGATCATTCCAGAACAGAAAACACGGACAACAATGTATTACTGTTATATATACTGTAAACAATTAATTTTGTTTTTAGAGTCAGCTCAAGGAACCCAGAGCTTAACCTTGTAGAAGAATTATCAGAACAAAAAATTGCCTATACTAACATCTATTCCCAACCAAAATGCACAAACGCAATAAATACGCCAAAAAAAATGCAAGTGTCAGCACAGCTAATTCAGACGTTCGAATTCGAAATGATCCTTAAAAGTGAACACTATGCTAGATAATATTACCAATACAAAGCCCCGTTGTAGTTTAAGGCAAGTTTCAACCATGGTGGCCTGCTCAGCGACCTCGCCCCCGACCTGGTTTGATAGACGCAGGTAATCCGCAAACGGCCCCGACACAATGTCATCATAAGCAGTCACGAACGCAGCCACTTCTTTGTCTGAGACCACCAGAAAAATACGAACGTTTTATAATAGCATAGGGAAACACGAATATTAAATAGTGGTATATAAGGGACGGCTAGCTATTTTAAATTTTATTGTGCGCACTATAGAAGAGTTATTGCGCTTGCGCCAAACTGACTAGTCCTTTTGCTTTCGATAGTACTTACTTTCTATTCAGCAGTTAAGCATTCGTGTGATAGCAAACGATGCAGATTGTATTCAACGTTTCCTTTTTTTTTTTTTGTTTTTTTCATATATACGCACTTCCATGTCCTTTTTCTTATTTCGTAATAGATTCGACACACACGAAACCTGACTTCCGACGGATTTGTATTGATCGAAACATCCAAGCGATTGCTTGCGAAACACAGCGGTTGTACATTTTATAATGAATTATATATAATTATGTCTCAGCTATATTATCCACCAACCTGACGAAGCTGCTCCTCCGTCTCTGTTTTCAGCAGTCTCCAGCCGAGTGACCACTAATTCAAGACGCCGAATTAGCTCTTCCAGCTCCTGCGCAGACATCGTCGATGGATCGACCCGGCCTAGACATCCACCCATGGCAATGGTAATTATAACAGTTGTCAAATGACCACAAAATGACGAACACATGCACACTTGCTAGATAGTTATTAGTCAACACTTCAAAGGTATACGAAATACTTGAAATATCCCTCCTGTCTTTCAGCCATTTGATATATCGCACTGCCAAATGCTCCACTCCACTAAATAAAACCAGAACTTTTAGTTACCCCGTCTTCCAAGCATATTCGTCTTAACATACTTTCACAATTTTACTACAGTTGCAAGCACTTATAATCCGTAATCGCTATGAAGGTAAACAAAAGAGCTGTTTCGTACAACGAGTTTACAATTCGTTATAGATTGATTGCCCTGTACCACTTCTACTAACTAAATATTAATAATATCTAAAGCTCCGCAACAGCAAGACGCGGACTGACGTTCCAGCAAACTGATCTTTTTCTTTACTCTCACATACCTCCCAGTTATCGCAGCGGCCGCCGCCACTACACAGTGTTGCTCGCTGCGTACCACATGTGTTAATGCAATACTTTTAATGAACCAGCGAGCTAAGCTGCCTTTCGTAACCGATTACTACAACAACGCATAGCAGTAAAATAGATTCTTGATGTTATAATAAACGCGATTTCTAAATATCATTATTTAAGATTTACGAATGAATGTTTTATTGTGTCTTTAATATTGCTACTTATTTTTTGGGTAAATCTTATCTCAGTGGCTCCAAGGGGATCGAATCGAATACTTAAACCACACTATGGCTAGCTCCTTTAATCATTATTGTAGTAATGTACTCCACAATATATTCTAGCGATGGTGACCTTATCAAAAACGTTTTCTTTAATGACACCAGCCCCTCTATGGACTTAGATGAGGTCACTACTTTAAACTGATCTTATAACACAGTACTCCTACTGTAAACTGCAATGTGGGTCGATTGTGTCAATTACACATCAGGGCGTATGTACCACCAGGTCTCGTAGTAAGGCCGAAGAAAGAGTAGGCCTCTGCAGGAATCTAAACGGATACGGGCCTATTTATATATACAAGTATGTGTGTGTGCACACATATGTGAGTAGAAGTAAACGAGAAAAACTGCTCAATTCAACCTAACCCAGTCTCAGAGTGAGACCTCCTACGATCGTCCGTCAGGCAAAAAACCATTTCTACAACAACAATAACAAAAGAAGCGACAGCCTCGCCCACTACCATCTGAAACATTCCACGTTTAGGTTTTTTGAATAACAATACATGCTCAGCAAAGCGGCTTTAATAATCGCTTAAAACCAAAATCACTCCAAACTTGGCTTCAGAAATTAACACTAATATAAACTCGGAGCACAACTTTTTAAAGAATCATTGTTAATCAAACGCGAAACCATGCACGAATTCTTTCAAAATCTAAATTTATTGAATTTAGATTTTGAAAGAATATCTTGTGTTGCCAAAACCTACGCTCCCATAATATAATTAACCGCAGTCAATGAAGACGACTTAAAAACGAAAAACTCGTTAGCTATTCGTCCCTAATAATTTAGTGCGCTGCGATAATCAACAATAACTTTATGAATTCATTTCATTTCAGCGAAGAGTTGAAGCCTATACTGTTTTATCGCAGCCGCTTACAATTTCAATATTATAGAATGTTGAGTGCCGGCGGCGGCAGTTCAATTACTGTACTCCTGTACCGCAGTAGTAGCTGTTGGCGCGTCAGCGTCTAAACAATACCGTATCACACAGACACTGATCACCTGACTACTGATTTCTGCTGCCAAATGAGTCTCACTCAGCAGCTGATACCGCTAAAAGCTTAACTAATGAGTACGCACAATCCAATTCAAAACGTATGAACGGAAATAAATCTATTGATATTGGACTTCAATGATGGATTCCAACGATCTTAATAGGACATGATCGTTTATCTCTGAATGAATAGGTAGTCCACAGATTTGCTAAGCTTATAACAAACATTATGAGAGGTCCGATACGCCAAACTTCATTATATTTTTGAATTACCAGCGAGTTGCTCCATCTACTCGTACATTCCAGTGGACTTTCATTTTTTATCATATTTAATCGACATAACCTACGCTACTTTTAGCACTGATTACACCTCCATTCACATAACATGCGATAATCTTGGATTATACCCACGCCTTTATCATCTCTACTAACAAAATAATGGTAATTTCAACGGTTAAAAGTAACTTTTTACTAATTCACGCCCAGAGGGGCAGGACTGGTTAATATATATGTGTGAGCGACATTAATAGCGTTAATTTCCGTAGTATTAGTGCTAGTTTATTTTTACTATTGATAATTATGGGAATGGGAGTTTCGACTGACTGACCTCACGCAATAAATATCGTATCATGCTAGATGTCATGTAGTGCGTGTCGTAAAATAAAAAACAAAGGAAATGCCACGAACCGACCTAATTCTGCTCGGCAGCAGTCGAGACGGGCCAGGCGGGAAAACAGGGCCAAAAGTTGGAGATGACTCATCTCATTTCTGTACATTTCGAGCGGGTCTCCACCTCAACACCCGACAGAGTGGGTGTTGAATACTAGAACGACCGCACCTACTGGAAAGCCTACGGATCCAGGACACACGGTCGGCAGTCAGAGATGTTGAAGGGATAAATAATCTGTCATTTATTGAACTACGTTAAGTCTCTGATATCAATTAAGGAGTCAGTTTCCACATTGCAAGTTTATTTAGAATTGTCGTTTGTATTGTTCTTGTTTAAATTAAACCGTGTCTGTTGTACCTAAACCAGTTTTTCAATACAGTTACTACGGCGAGTTCCCCAAACTACAATAGCGCAACGTTAAACCGCAATAAATTTTGTTAATTTTGCAATTAGCCACCAATGGTAACATCAGTACAAGCTTAAGACATTCCTTGTATGTCAGCATCAAAAGTTTATGCACTTAGTTCTCACAGCTTGGGTTTCCGCCCACTACGACAAAAACAATTATTTTTATGCCAGATATGTATATGAAACAACCTCATTATCGTACCTTTAACGTCTATATCGAAACCATAGAATAGCTCAGCACACAGACCACTCTACATTTCTTAGATGCTATTTTAGCAGCTATACAAAGATAACAGAATATATAGGTGATGAGAGCCTAGTTATCTGCTAAGCCGTGAGCTTGGGCAGCAGTTCCTTCTTTTAAGACCCGGAAAAGAAAACACACAGCTACCAGCTAGATATTGAGAAAAACGTAGCGCAACTTTTTTTACGTTACGTATTTCGTTGATTGGAATTGACTGGCTGTTTGTCTAAGTGTACCATCTCTTCTAAACCAAAAAGTAATCCATCATAGAATGTCTTAAATGTATATATACAACTGGCTTATATAATGATAACTGCTGCTCGCTGATCAGCGATTAACACTAAAATAAGCGATAACAGTAGCATGAATGATTAGACTATGAGTCTGAACGCACCTGTATGTACGTGTAGGTGCGTGTGAGAGTAAAACGAACAAATTATGAATAGTTTGCTACTTTAATGGGAGGGATGATCATGACGAAGATATCTCCGATATTCTTTGCAGACGCTTTCTATTTTTGTATCCACTAACTGCCAATTGGCTAATTCATGTAGTCGACAATATCGCCATACAGAAGGTGCGAAACACAAAGTGGATATGTGCGTTCTGACAGGAGCGAGCACTGTGAAACTGCGCGCGTTGACCCGCCCGTCAGCCTGCCTGTGTATATTCGTCCGAACCAGGCACCGTGAACAAAAAAAGCTCACTTGGTTGCCTTTCTGTTGGCCTGCTTCAGTCGCTGCTGATACTGCTGCTGCTGCTGTCGTTGCCTGTCTTACCTGACTGCATAACGAACTTGTTTTTCAGTAAAAGATGCTGCTAATAGGCCATTGCAGCGAGTGGTTGTTCGGTCATTATGCGTTCATTTGCTGCTGCCGCTGATCTTCCTCCTCCTCCTCCTCCTCCTTCGCCAAACGTAATGATTCTGGTAGGCCATCTTCTCTGGTGCGTAGCCCTGCTGGATCTGGTCTGCATATTTGGTCCTTGAAACGTTGATCTGCCGCACTGCTTCAGTTACGACTAATTCTAGCGTCGTGCGTTTGTCGGTTCTGATAGACACTAGTGCTGGCGCTGGTTTGCGGCTGTTCGAAGCCATAGCAAATGTCGTTGACGACTAAACAGCTATTGCGGCAACAGCAGCCGAAGCAACCTCCCAAATATGGAGAAATTGATTCGGCAGGAAACAACCCGCTAAAATGGGGCATTACCCAGTGACAAAGACGGCAGACGGAGATAAATGTGGCAATATATAAATATATGTTCATGTGCAATTCAGCTGTGAACATACACAACAATAATAAAGACGATCCACCACACGAGCTGTCTATGAACCGTGCGAGAAGTGCGCGAAGCTACTACTGATGCTAACAATGGGGCAAACTTTTTTCATAAACAACATTAATAAGAATAACTTGTTAATATTGTTAACGTTTAATGAGTGTGTATAGCTGTTACTTTTGTTTTGACAGGGACATAATGTTCAGAATTTGGTTGGATAATTGAATATGTTGTTCATACATAGTTGGAAATTAATAAACTCTTTCATCTTACTCTAAAAAATACCAACTCAAAATTAATCAAAAAATTTCAGTAATTTCTAGTAATCTCCTGTCAATGCTATTATTAAAAAAACTGCAGTTCTTTTTTCATCGCCTGACTCAACTCTTTGTCGGTTTTACGTTAAAACATATATAAGTTAAGCTGTAACGAATAAGTCAGAAAAGGAATACGGAAATTGAGGTTACGTTTTAGAAAACGATATAAAGAAGAAATTGGCTTGACTCCTTTTCGATAACGTAAGCTACCAGTTAATTGCCCGAATAGTTTTTATCGCTGTGCAATCGATGGCCTGTGATTCTTCTAAGAAAACTTAACAAGAAGCACAGTTAGAGGTCTTCGCAGTCAAAAGAATAACAAGCTAATTTTTTTTTAACCACAAAAGCTAAAACTTGTAATAAGGCTGTGTTAACGGAAGCCCCTTTCCACCACCGCATTCTTGACTTACTCTATGACTCTAACAAAACATATTGGCCTACGTGTGTCGGGTACCTAACGAACGGCCATCCTAAACACCGGTTGAGAACGCGAAGTACGTAACAGGAAGAAGGATTCCACACAAGTTCTTTAATTTAAACTATTCTTTAGCTAAAGACTCGCGCCGGAATAACATATGCACAGAGATGGTAAAATGCATTTTAAGTTGATTACACATTAAGGTTTCTGGTCACACAGCTAACACATGGTATTTGAATGATTAACAAATGTTATACTAATTTTCTAACGGTAAGACCAGTTATATTACTTTATAGAGCTGCAAGGATCATATAAATCGCAAAGGCACTTGCGGATTATTAAATATAGAAGCCATAGGCTTTAAACCCAAAATATAATAGGAATCTTGCTATTCAGTAATCAAGTGATAATAGATTTTCGTTATGCTCATGCCTACAGCACAGTGGACCGTTTGATCATAGACATACTTGAAACAGAGTTGTGCAGGCCCAATCATAACCGGTCCAATACCTGACCGCCTAGGAATGATATGAATGCTTTGAAAAGAATATCACCGTCAACTTTCAAGTAGTTGCAATTACAATACACAGAATAGAAACCAGAGTCATCATTGATTTGATGGCACTGAATGTGGGCACTACCGCGTAGCGCCCCACCCACTATCAGCCACATCCATTTCATACATGTATAACTGGTAATAATCAACTCTTACTCCAAAATTCGCATTGTGACCTACCTGATTAGTTAAGGATTAATATCACTGTGCACCAGTAAGCGCAGGAGAATCTTCGAAAATAAAAAGGTGTTGTGCCTTTTCTTTTTGACTATGCGTTGTATATACTCCTGCCTACGCGCAGTGGAGACGATCGTCGAAATTAAGACACCGGCCAGTCAATGTGTTATTGTAACTGTGTGCTAACGCTCGTCCGAGAGACGCAAAATCGTCGCGGACGGTCAAGCGATGCCAGTAACGCACCGACACTTAGTCTCCTTCGAGACCGCGTTTCATCAGAAACGGCTCCCAAATGCCGCTAACAATTATAGCTCATCGAACAATAGCTGCGCTCTAACACAACATTACGGGACAGCTCAGGGTGAGTGTCGACTGATATAGCAAATATAGGCCTGCTTGTGGTACTCGTTTCAACGTTAACCAGGAATACTACTCAATAGAATTGAGCGGCTTGAAAGAGCTAAGCAAGCCGGCCCGTCTGCTTACTCAACCACAACAGCAGCAGCTACGATAGCTACAATTACCGTCACATCTACCCGGCTTCTACAACACAGACAACAGTCATCATATCCACAGCTCTCATAGATGTCAACAGCTAGCGTATATGCTTCTTCGTACTGCCCCGTCGCTCGTACAATGGAACGTTGTTGTTAGCTGATTTTCAAGCTGGCTGACTGGTGATTGATGGATGCATACTGTTCTGGCCACTTCTGCGGTTCCTATACGACGCCGGGCGATCTGCTTACAAAAAGGGCGCGGCCGACATGTCTTCCTAGTGATAAACTAGGTATTGATGCGCGCGGATATCTAGATCGAGTCAATCAACTTCCTAACGGTAACTTTACGGATTTCTGTATTTTTCCGAAATCCGGTTTCGGAGATCATACGATATCAACTGATGCCCATTAACCAATTTCTTATATAAGCAATGTAATGGTCGGTGATTAACGTGCCTGTTACTTACAGAACGATAAATACTACGGTTGCCATGATTGTCAATACGCAACTTTATATTTACATAACCTACATGTATATTTTATTACACATCTATTACATTTTCTCCTACGGCTTTATACCAAGCAGACGTTCATGGAAGATTTTGTTTCAGTTCGGCAGCAATGGTACTGCAATAATTAGCTGTAACATAGTTGTTAGTTGTGCAGTTGTTATGGGTTACTGATTTGCTAAAACATATTTCTGATGAACTTCATATCCAAAACAACTGGCAGCGTATTATATTTGGAACATTTCATAAGCTTTTCAATAAGCGTACTTCAGGGCATTCCACTCTTTTAACCACAAATTGCGATCGATGAAAGTTTGAAATTCGATCTAAAAATCTCGTTAGATGTAAACCTCTTTGTGCCTCCAATCGGGTAATTAGATATGTATGTGTCATAGCGAAAACGGTCAGTACTTCACTGATTAAACAGCGAAGTGCAATGTGAACTAGAAGACCGCTCTGTGAAACTGACACGCTGTGGTAATTTCCGTTTAATTTTCACGGACCATTATTAATAGTTAGTTACCAAAATCAAACTATGTTAGGACAAAAGATAAATTCAGAAATTTTAATTTACTATTTTTATAGTGTAAACATTATACATATAAAAGTATGAATGAATGTACAATGATACCTAAATATTTCGGAACAGGAGTTTGAACAGTATAAATTTGAATGAACTAATTTTAGCTTTCTTGATTGATTCAATGATGGAATGTAGTGAAGGAGAGGTAAATGTAATTATCCTGGAAACTGTATCTTCGTTGATCGATGCTTGCTAAAACCAAAAAATGACATAGTTTGCATGAAAAAACTTAAATGCGTGTTGTAGTTTAGCATATTCTCAGTTTCCAATATATCGGTGTTAAATTAGTCATCGTTTTTTTAAAGTAAAGTTTCTTTGTCACTCTAGAGGATACGTTTGGTGTTGCTTAAGCCAAAAAGCATTAACGTGCAAATAAGGAAGCCAATATCTAACCATATAGCTACCTCACTTAGCTAAAATATTTGTAATAAAAGGTAAGACTGCCAATATAAAATCTACCTATAGTAGGTGCTTAGCGATAAAAATATTGTTATCCGTATTTTTAGAAGCCATAGGATAACAATCAGCCAAAAATTAGGCAGTGAATGAACACTGTATGGTTGAAGCAAGAATATTAACAAAAAATAGTAAGTCAGATTTCCTTTTCCCTCAGACGAGTTTTTCCTGACCAATATGGGCATCTTAAACTTGTGCTATAGTAGGTACTATAGCAATAGGAACCGTTGTAGCAGTGTTATACTATAATAAGTGACATTCAATCATGTCGGAAGATTGTCGTATCATGTCAGTTATTTTGATATCTGCTAAGTAACATAAAAAACACTACTGTAGATTCCGGCACAACTACAGCAGGATCTATATAGGCAACTGTTGTCCGGATGCATACGAAATTCGAATATTTTTTGCTACCTGCCGAATAGAAATGTTAGCCTTAGATGAGCTATAACAGTTTAAAAATGATGAAACACATCCGATTCATTCCATTATCGCACTCAAATGTTGTTGGCTCTTTTAGGCCTAAATAAAGACACATGCATATATATTTATACAATTTGAAGGTGATACACGCAGCCATGTACAACAATATTCAATTTGACTTTATTAATACACTTGTTTCTGCCATGTTTGTCTTTTGCGACCTGTCTGATTGTGCAATCTTCCTGAGCATTTAGAAAAACGTGGCATCGCATCATTAGTCTACCACCTCAAACACTTCCTACCGTATAGTGATTTGCTGACAAAACTTCACTTCCATACTTCACTGATACGTTTGAAAAAAGAAATTAAATCGTTTCTCTGTCTTCCTCTTTCGGTATTATTGACACCAAACGGATGATGATTATTGTCAAATAAGTCCTTCAAAAAAATAGATTTGCTAGATAAGTTTCCTTCTATGCACTAAGCTGTATGTTTATCGTAGTACGATGGACCCTGCCATTGATTTTATATATTTTTCCCTGAAAAACTGCCAAGCAAATCTGATATTGAGCGACAATTACTTTTGCTTTGTCCGCATTCTTATCGATATAAATTACTTAATATACAGTAGTGACACATTGTTCTACACGTGTAAGAAAGACGAAATGGCTGATCCAGTTCCTACCGTCTTTCACATCGATGCCACATATTCTGGTTGTTATGACTCAGAAGCATTCGTCGTAGTCGATTATAACTGGATTATCGGAACACCCAGTTCTGTACAGTTAGCTCCCTAGGTTAAAGCTAAATAACATTTACATTGCAAGCATTTCTAGGGTAAATTCGGTGGCATATTCGGCGGTGGTGGGGCAAGGCCGTTCTCCCCTCGATATGCTCTGTACTTGTTCATCTCGTGCGGAAACACCTGCGGTATACCAGTACTTAGCTAGCTCAACTTAAAGTTAATAATATATAATAGTAGCTTAAATAATACGTTTGTGATTAGTACTTATTAGACAACAATGGTAAATCAATCAAGGAAAATGCCATGTTGATGTTCTAAGCGTTGAATTTTGAAAACGCTTAAACCACCTCTCATCGGACATAGGTGCTTTTTTTTCAACTTAAACCTTGCTTTGTGCAAATTTTCTACAAGGTAATTATTCTTTGCGACTCTTAATAATGGAAGCCGCCTGACGCTAATAATCTTGCAGTCGAAACAAGTTTTTCAGTAGGTAACCGACCTTTCATTCAAAATCATATAGCTAAGAAAATATCACAGAGTATCATTTGCGGCTAAAATTAGAGTGTATCACTAAATTTCTAGACACTATAACCCATGATGTAATTATATCATACCTTATTCAGCTCTACTATTAACAGCGCCTTAAACCTTCGATAGGCATCGATTTTTCCCTTCACCTGCTCGTTTTTTGCTAGTGCCTTTTCCATGCAATCTTTCGTGTACAACTGTGGGTTGCGACCTTCGTCAATATAATCGCAGACCTGTTAAAGCATGTATATATGTATGCATTTGTTAATTATCGCCAATGTTGACCACCGAAAATAAATAGCCAGTACCTTAAAAGAAAAATAGTCTTTTATGCACAGTGACGATTAAAATGTTGATTTTGATCCATAGACAGCAAGCCGTCATAAGAGGGACCTTTGCAAAAATTACACGGGTCATATGTGTAAACAAAAAAAAAAAATTGACCCAAATTTGCTGCTGGTGCTGCTTACTTCTAAGGGCACCTGGATATCCTCAACATGTGGCCGAACACGTTCGATATCCTGCATAAGTCCGACGAGTGTTGTAATCTTCTGATTGAGGGCGGGCTGCCCTTGAGGCTGAAAATCAGCCACAACAATCCCCAGTTGGCGAACATTCTCCACAAAAGATTCAAGCGTCGATTCTAATTGCTGCAGATGATTTGGAGAGCCTGTTGACCCCGCCATCTAACAATAATGAAACATATATTAGGCACATTTCAAATCTTATGCTTACATTTGCCATAAATCTCCAGTCTGGAATACCTCTATTTAACATAACTCACTAATTAAATATGGCGTTTTAAGGTAGGTTTTAATAGATTTATATCTAATTATAAGTTACGCGACATTCACTTGAAGGTTCCTTTACAGATTTCATGTCGCAGTGCAAACCATCAATGTCACAAACATCTGTAATCTCTCGGTATATATTGATCACTTTATAACTCGGAGAACAAAAACTAACATTATTGCTTACAATCAACTGATATATAAGCTTCTTTTTATATAAGATATATAAGTTTTAGTTGCAAATATGAGATATAGTATAGAAAACATTTACTTTGTTTATAGGAAGCTTTCACAGTTCGTAATAACGGGCATCGACACACTACTGCAGTGTTGAAATAGTAGCAATCACATTGAAAATGCGCACATTGCAAATAACTAAAATAGTCCGGCAAACCCGAATTGCAAGGAAACTAATTTCTACATTATTAGTCAGTAACATGTTTAGCTAATAGCCACGCCGGTGGGCACAGAAAATGACCGATCAAAATAAATCGCTCATAAGTTTATAAACTTAGTAGCGAATCAACCTGCAAGAATATGGAAAGTTCAGCATCAGGCACTTCTATGAACACACGGTTCGAAAATGTAACAGGGCGTTTTTCAAAATCAAATGATCCTTATTATACTACGCCTGTGTGGTTTAGCACTTAAAACGGGACAGTTTAATGAGGTCAAATACATAAATTATACTAAGACAGTCGCTCACTTTGCCTTATGATGTTCGCATCCCACTGCATCGGTATCTAGCGGAGCTCGTAAAGCAATAAAAACAAATGCGCAATGTTGTGCTGATCCCCAGAGAGAGAGTGGTGTATACTGTTTTTGATAGAAAGTAATATTTTATCACTTAACTACGGCAAAACTCCTATAATTTTAGCAGGTAGCGCAGTAAAACTCAGGCTATCATTTTCATGAAAATTTGAAAAAAGTGTTTCACATCTGTTCATAATTCAATTTATTTGAAAAGCGCGGGATCTTTCGAAAACAAAACCACTCGAACAAAGGTCTGCAACTCGCTTCCGTTTTTAGGCCTCTTTTCGCTCCATTCTAGCCAGAAGATGGTGTGTCTTATGAAACTTTTTTACAAAACATATTTTTGCGTATTGAATTTAACTATATCTGTAGTTTATATTGTGCAGGGTAACTAGCGAATCGTGCCTCTTAAGTGAAATAGAAATTTTATTGATAGAATGTGTGAAATCTTGATGCACTGACCTGTTAGGTTGCGCTGCACGTGGATAGAAAAGCTTGTCGTTCGAGTACCAGCAGCTACCTTAAGTAGTAGTGGTTTTTAATATGCTGCTAATAACTTTTATCCAACTATTAACGGAACAGTTACTCATAGTTACGGACGCTAAGCAGTTGGCGATGTCTTGATTTATTTTATTATTTATCTTGTCTACACTCACGTATTTATTTTACGATTGGATGACAGCCGTACAATCGGTACTTTGTGGAGATCGGGCGCGTGGTTTATCTGACTCGCGGAAAAGACAAGGGTCGGATTGGCGTCATCGTCGATGTCGTCGACCAAAACCGTGCTTTGGTCACCGGTCCGGGCCTCAAGCGCAAACCTCAACTATTTAAGCATATACGGCTCACACCGCAGGTGCTGACGGGTTTCTGTGCAGGCACCAAGGACCGCCTCGTGCATAAGCAATTCGTCGATGTAAGGCACACAATCCTTTATCTTATTTTGTAATGTTGTTATTGATGTCTTTAATCTACAGTTTTCAAGATAAAACCTCAGCCTTACGGGCTGAATCGTTTCTTATAAAATAGCTACTAAGCAATTGTCAGAAATATAATGAGATAAATCGATATAAACGCGAGTATACTTGAAACCGTAGTAATAACTTTAGGTTTCTCCACTATACATATGAAATTGTCCTAAGAGCTCGATTTTCCTCTTTACATATTTGCTGAATGTGAACTCCATGTTCCAAAAAGACAATTCATACTATATCTTTGATTGAAGAGAGGTTTTTCCGATAATGATCACTATGTTTGCATATCTCTTAATACGATAGTGAGGTACCGTAGACGACAGGCGTGATTTTTAAGAAACGTATTTCTTAACTTGCAGAGCAACGTCGAGAAGATCTTTTACGACTCCCTGTTCTACAAGAAATTGCAGGCCCGGAAAATCCGAGAAAACCTCAACGACTTTCAACGCTTCAAGGTGTTGCACCTGAAGAAGAAGATGAACACTTTGATCAACTTGAAGTACGGGAAATTAAGAAAGCCTGCACGTAAAGCTTTCTTCAAGAAGCTCGCTGAGAAGAAGGAAAAGATCGACGCTCTGAAGGGAACCCAATAAATCAATGACAATTGGTCTGTCATAGATATCCTTGACAATATACGACAGGTGTCTTTTCTGCCTCTGTCTCTCGATTTTAAAAGTAACAGTTTATTAAGATGGGGACGCCTGAATCCTTTGTTATTCATGCCTTAGATCACAACGCACGTCACTGGATTGTATATATTAACGGAGGTTCAGAAGTGCTGAAAGTTATAGTTGAAATTCTAATTGGTTTTAAATATTAAACGTTTTCGACTTTCAAGAACAGCCGCAAGCATTCTAGGATTTTCATATAATGATAAAGGTTCAGAGTTCCGAAAGATCATACTTTAGATTCTAATCCGCCTATTAATTACTACATTGATAACTAAGCTTAAGGGCTATTGTGACAGATCCGTAATATATTGATATATTTAATACAGGGCGTCACTAATTAACAAATAGATTTCGTTCAGGGAACGCTGAACTCGGTAAACCTCAACTTCGAGAGTTTTTGGTATTTCCGATTGGATTAAATCTTCAATGGTCATCCTATTGACAGAAGTGTAGTGCGTTTCGTTCTGTACTTGTTTTTCGAACGATTCATCTTTCTGTGCAAAACAGGCGACAGCTACCTCTTGTGTGAAACAAGTCTTAAATTTAATGTTCTAAAACCCTAGAATAATGCAGCTCCTTTTTCAGTAAGGAATTTTTAAATCAGTTGATTATAAAAGGAAATATTATTAACACGTTTTCGCATCAATTATTTTAATTGATTGTAACGTATGAATCGATTTAACTCAGATAAGAGTTCTAATAACTAACCTTCTATAGATCTTGTACTTGTGCAAAAAAAGTAAATTTTTTTTGCACAAGTTGACTTTACAAAAATTACAATTGTTTTTATCGGAACCCTGTAACTACCCTGCGAATGCTCGGAAGTAATATATATTATTCAAATATTGCCAATTAACTACTTGTGCAAATGAAAAAACTTTTTAATGTGTATATTTATTTATTATGTGTATATATTATTATGACTCATTCAGCTTGGAATGTATTCTGTGACTGATGTATAATCGTTTTACATGTCCAGACGGTCTTCAAATCTTTGGACCATTAACTGACTGCTCACTAACCGCTTTATATTAACGTTTCAATATTAGTATCAATGGGCTATATGTGCTCTATCTAATAGGGATTACGATTGCAACCGCTCCAGTTGCGCTACTTGGTGTGCATCACAGCGATCTTGAGTTGGTCAACGAGATTGTTGTTTATTTTATGCCAGTCATAGCCAGCGACTTTTGGCAGGGTTGCCCTCAGAATGCGACACGCCCCATCTGCAGCTAATTTTAAAGTGGACATGACTTTTTCAACATCGACAGTTTCCTCCCGCCAGCAATCGTAGTCGGTGGTAATAGCCAATGCGGCATACGGGATCCCTAAAATCGCACCAATTTACGGTTTTTTGTTAAGTGTTTCAGACTGGTGGTAATAAAATGCAAAGAGAAATATGTCGTTCTACGTAGCTGGGCGAGCTACCTTCTTTCTTTAAAGCATTCGTATCCTCGTAAGCTCACTGAGAAAACTGCCATCTACACACTGCTACGATTCACTTCGACTCATTGACGAACACAATTTGCATCTATATTTATTCACATTCCATGTGACATAGCAGTAGTAAAATATATATATATATATTTTTTTTTATCTTGAACTACTGCTATATCACATGGAATGTGAATATTTATATAT